TTTGTTTTTATTTTGATTTTAGAGTCTTCTCAGATCACCCAAAAATGAAGATTCTGTCGTCATTTACGCATCCTCAGGTTGTTTGGACACAAAGAGGAATATTTGATATTTTTATTTCTGTGTTTAACAAAAAAAAATCATTTTTAACAGAGCTGGAATAACCTGAGGGTGAGTAAATTAAGACAGAATTTAAATATGCTTTGAAATTTTACAGCACCAAACTGTTAAATTACAGTAATCCAGGATATAACTGTAACTTTACAGTTAAATCAGGTATTTAAACTGCAACCTACTGCTAAATCACAGTAATCGTTTTGCAAATTCACAGTAAAATATAGTTAATTCTACAAGATAATACTGTGAAATCACAGTAACGGACTTTATTATCTACTGTAAAGTTACAATATATGGTTGTAATTTCACAATAATTTAATGTGACAAAACCACAGTAAATTACTGTGAACTACCTCACAATAATTTACTGTGAATTTACATACAGTAATTTACTGTGAAAGTAATGCAATTATTAGCCAGTAATTTACTGTGAATTTAAGGTCAAATTTTTTACAGTGTTGCTTTAAATGCAAATGAGATTGTGCTGTTTACAAAAGAGGGAGGAGCTACAAATGCCTGTGCATCTTCATGAAAAGCTGAAAATATCAAAAGAAGTGGCTCAGAAACATTTCTAGAGTGATTCATTAATTCTGATTGAATTGACTTGAGAGCGATGAATCCTGTTTACATTGTGCAGGTGGAAAAGAAGAGTACTGCCTATTTCAAGGAGAGGGGTCTGGCTGCAGACCTGGTGCAGACCACAGTGACGTCACTATAGCTCAATTCGAAAGCATTGTGTCTGACATTGCATCGCTGAGTGATGCAGTCTCAGCTTGCATCATAAAGGCTGCATATAGATACTATTGATTTCAAGAAGTCTATCGGGAGGGACTCAATCGTTCATCAATTGAAAGACAGAAGTTAATCATATGCAGTCAGGAATGGAAAAAACATTTGATTTGCTTATCTCCCGAGTCCTTGTGTTGTCATTCATCTCTCTACATGCTGAACATAATGAATGAACAAATCAAATCACAAATAAACCTGAAGACTGGAAAGCTGAACTAACTGTGTGCTTCCAGCTCAGACTCCTGTCGCTGTTCATTTGTGCTTCATCTAAAACTCCACATCTATAATCCTCTTAGTCTATGCTGACATTATCTTCAACAGCTCAAACACTCTAATGGCTAATGGACAGACGGCTGCTTCTCACTCAAGGCTGCTGTTTATGCTAATGAGGGAGAGATGGGCACTAGTGGGCGGGGCTTTCCCCCTTGATGACATCATACAGAGGGAGAATGTCAATCAAAGTGTTTCTGCAGACTGTTTTGATCAAGTCTGATTATAACAAATACAATTAATTATTATTATTTTACTTTAGGTTATATTCACACACCGCTAACAGACATCTGTGTTTAAACCCCTAATAAACATGATTTTTCATAAAAGGTCCCCTTTAATATATCAGTTGCTGAAACATCATGTACTCACACTGCACATCTAAAGTCACAGGATCAGAGTATTTCTCTCCATGATCATTTCTGGCTCTACACTTGTATTCTCCACTGTCATCAGCTTTGATTTTGGAGATGTTGAAGATTCTTCCAGATCCTACAAGTGTTTCTCCTTTAAACCAGCTGATTTCTGCAGGAGGGTTTGAGTCGCTGCTGCAGTTCAGAGTCACTGAATTGTAATGCAGCCATTCAGTTTCAAAGTACAACATGTGCCGGGAAAAACTAATGTTACTGCTGACTACCTGTCCCGATGCTCTAGTGAAGTTCTGGAAGAGGGGGAGAGTGTGACGGCCTGAAAGGTTGGCCGCACAGTTCTGTGTAACAGCGTGCGTATTTACACACACACACACACACACACACACGCAACCATGCAAACATATTCACAGTTATGCAGACATGACATTTCATTTTATAGTTTCTTTCTCCATATCTATTATACAAATCTCAATACACATTAGTTTCTTTCTTGTGCTTTATTTATAGAAACCATACATTTTTGTTACTACTAAATTAATTTGGAGTGCACACAAATTAGTTTCGTTGTATGATTAATGTTTGTTTCTTTTGAGTTACCGAGTGGTGTGCTGGAGACAGAAAGTGGTGGCTTCCGGTGCGGCAAAGATTGGAGTCCGGGCGGGAACGCCGGATTTATGCAAAATGGTTCCGCCCGGGCAAACCAACCGCTTGAATAATGCAGGGGGAGAAGTCATTTTAGATATCCTCTTTGATCAAATATTTATGTATTGATTTTGTTAATTTGTTTATATTGGTTAATGTTTGATTTTATTATTTTTGTGGTAATGTTGTTATTGCATTTATTTTGTTTTTGTGATGTATGTAGTAATGTGAATTTTTGTCTTTATCCCTTTGTAATTTAAATGAGCTCATCCTTTTCTTTATAAGCCTGGCTGTTCTTCATTGTAGCAGGTCATTTTGTGTTGGTTGGTTATGTTGGCCTCATGTTCCTTTACTTTCTTTTTTTGTTAAATTATATTAATTTGAGGACTTATGTCCTATTTGTTGAGAATAAATCTCAAGTGGAGGATTTTTGGGTTGTGTTCTGTTTCCTTTGACCCTCGGTCCCTTACAGATACTCAGGTGGATTTATTGGCACTGTAAGACGCTTTACAGCATTGACAAAGCATTAGTAACAATAAATTACAGATGCACATTTCCACACAATTAAAAATAAAAAGGTAAAAAAGATTAAACAAATCAGGATGAGAAGCATTTCAGTCACTGCCACTCTTAACAAAACTGACTAATCAGAATATTGATATTGCTTACAATATGATTGGTTATAAATGAAGCAGAACACATTCATATACCTTTAAGCACTGTACATCAGAAAACCACATTTCTTTAAGTAGCAGGAGATGGAGACCTCTGGTGGTGGAGTGAGGGTTTTACACATTGAACTCTATTTTAGCAATCTAAGCACAAAAGTCTAAAGCAGATGGAGCAAAAGCACCAATGAGGTGTCTGAATCCACTTTTGCTATTTAAGGATTTAGACCGGCACATGGTCTAAAAGGGTCTTACTTCTCTTAATCAGTTGTGGATGTGTTTAGGGTGTAATATGCAATAACTCAATCAGAGACTCATCTCTCATTCCCTTTAAGAGTCAGGTGTGGGCTCGCCATGGCACATTCACTATTCACTGAAAACTTCATTGGATTCACCAAAGCACAGAGGTAAAGAAGGCACAGGAGGAGATCAGGGTTTTTATATTCATGCAGACAATAATATATATATATATATTTTTTACGTTTTAAATCTTTAATTTACTTTATATTTTAAGGTCACTTAAAGTGCTTTAAAATGTGCAGTTTTATTCAATGTTTGAATAAAATCTCAACCAAAACATCACCATGACATGAGGGTGGGACATAGTGTAGCTCCTCCTCTTAAATTTTTTTTTCTTCTTAAAAATCAGCCAATAGTGTTCTGTTTAATCACCGCTCTGCCAGTGAGAGTGGTTGAGCTCAAGTGCATCAAGTGAAAAACAGATGAGAAGCATCTAGAAAGGGGCGGGGCATGTCAGATACTAGAAAGCATTTGATTGGTTATGATGTGAAGAGACACTACAGTGTGAGATGACGTAAATAGGCTAAAACTGTTGATCCATTTAAGCGGAAGTGACAAACTACAAGCTTTACATGTTTATATCAGTTTTATATCTTCTAAATGCGAATTTTGTCATTGTTTTGGAGAACACTAACTTATAGATTTCCTTAAAACTAACAACACTGATACCAACATCTAAACAAATTTATTATACTTTCATGAGACCTTTAAAGATATTCATGTACTGCTGTACGTCCCTGTGTGTGTAATGAGCAGTGTGTATATGCATACATTGCAACACCTCCTCTCCTTGATTCAGAATTACTCTGAGGTGTTTCTACAGAAATTTGGCTGACTGAATAAATGCTCTCTTGAAACAAATTATAGCAAGAGTAAACTGTTTTATTTTACCCACGTGTATAGTTTTCTCATCAAATAAACAAGCAAATCATCAATCACAACAAAAATAAACAAGACATTCCAAAGTCAGACACTAAATAGTTTTTCTGAAAATAAGTCAGAGACCACTTATCATCAACAGCACTTGACAGCGATGCAATAAATCCTTCTGATGTCCAGTCACTGCTTAGAAAAGAGACTGTCGTTGTGTGTAGGAAAGCAGTCAAGTTGCCCTCTATTGAGTGAGAATATGTTGCTCTCCAAGAAGTTGGTTAAACTTAGCATCTCCCAGTGAGAACAGCAAGCCAACAGATGCACACGGATAGCAACATATAAACAGTCCTTTAATTGAGCGATAACTTCAATAGTTCTCAAACACTGGACTGAATGTGAATGCCAATAGCGAAAGTGATCCATGTGGTGTCCACTCTACCAAACACCCCATCTTACTCTATGGTAAGTGGCTCTTTATAATGTGCAAATTAACCTAGCGCCCCCGGCGGTCAGAAGCAGTATTGCATGTCAACGTGCCAAACAATACACAATGCAGAAAGATAAATAAATAAACCAAAAAATAACAAGTGCATAGGGGCATAATAATAACATGCTCTTTAATTAATTAACTTTAGAGCAGCTTTCAGTTGATGTCTAAGAAATAGCAATGTGCCAACACTGAGCCTCAACACACCTCCACAGACCAGCACACACATGTGAGCACAAATGTATTCGCTACATAAACAACATGGTGCAAAACGTGAAAATGATACCTGTGCCAGGCTGACACTAGCAAATTGCCAAGTGTATGATATGGCCTATTGAGAGTGAAATGATAAATTTTGACATATTCTATCACATTACTAAACATTGCTTTTCCCCTTCAATATCTTAATATTTCTGCATAAAACCAATCCAATAACTTTATAGACAGTTTCAACACCACTGTTACATGTTGACATCACTAATGCTCCCTGTCAATCACCCGTGGCCCCACCCACACATCTCAGGATTGGTTGTTACTGGCTCCGCCTCTCACTGCAGCCTCCTCCTGTTGATCTGAACAGACAATAAGATGAAGAAAGACTGAAGCTCAACCACATTAAACTCTTTGACGAGGCTCATCCAATAATCAAACTGCTGCTGAGAGGGTTTATGGCTGATATTGTCTCTTACTGGTGGATTGTGATGTTCAGAAGAGCTCTGAGGATCAAGAGTGGAGCAGGAGTTTTCAGCAGGTCTGTGGTGAACGGTCTGTGTGAAAGACAGCGAGAGATCATCAATCATCTGATCATCAGTGACCGTTGTCTGACTTTGACTTTGACTTACTGTGAGTGTGTTGTACAGGTCAGAGGTCGCAGACTGTAGATCCAGACCTGCATATGTGTCTGAGATCTGGACAGAGAGAAGGACATTGTGACTCTATTTCAATGATCTCAACTCGTGATCTAAAGCACACGGTGCAGAAGCTCCTATAGGGTGAGTCTGAATCTACTTTTGGTATTTTAAGAATGGCAAAAATGGTCGGTGCACCCAGCACATAGTCTTTAACGATTGTCTTTATTCTCTTAATGAGTTATGGGTGTGTTATGCACCAACCAGAGTCTCCAATCTCACATTCCCTTCAAGTATTAGTTGACAGTGCACATAAACATCAAGCTCACAAGCTCTTGCTGATCATTTCTCTCGCTGCATAAACATCAACGGTTTGCTCGGTTCTCTTTAGCATAAAATTGCCATCATACATGTGCTGCTGTGCATCCCTGAGTGTGTAATGGGTAATGTGTTCACATGTCTATAAGCAAATATCATTACATGCTCTTTAAATAAAAACAAATAAACAAAAATACTGAGTCATTGACTTTAGAGCAGCTTTTAGTGGGTCAATAGTGCGGTCAACTTAATTTGCTTCAAAATAGTGAATAATGAAGATCATCTCACCGCAGACTCTTTCTCTGCAGATCTTCTGCTCTTCCTTTTTGAATGACTGTCAGAATAAAAATAAATATTATTTTACTTCAATGTCAGATAAATTAGGCACAGTAAAATATATTACTTCAGTTTTATATGATCACAGCAGTTTTTATTGAGCTCACATTGCAAACATGACGGCGATGATGATGATGATTAATATTGCTACAGATGTCGCTGTGATGATGATGATGTTTCTCCCAGCGCCTTGATGAACTGAAAGATGAAGCAGATCATGATTAACTCTCCAGACTGATGAAGTTACAGGAGTGTGATGATAAAAGCTTCACCAGTGACAGTGACGGCGTCTGATCTCTGAGCTCCATGTGGATTGTGAGCCTCACAGTAGAAGCGTCCACTCTGTACTGCACTGAAACTCTGTCCAGATCCAACAGCTGAGCTTTGATTCTCCTTAAACCAGCTGAAGCTCAGAGCAGGAGGGTTTGAGTCACTGATGCACATCAGACCCACTGGATCAGAAAAAAGCTGACCAGAATCTATGATGGACACTGAGACGTTCCTGGGAGGATCTGAAACAGAAAAAAACAACAACAACAGTGATATAATTAAGATTCTCAATGAATAAGGCATCACATTTGATTGCAATAGATGAATCAATATATCAGTTACTGAACCATCGAAAACTCACACTGGACATTTAAAATCAAAGCAAAAGAGTATTCCTCTCCATGGTCATTTCTGGCTCTACACTTGTATTCTCCACTGTCATCAGAGCTGATCTTGGAGATGTTGAAGATTCTTCCAGAATTCAGAGCTTTATTTCCTTTAAACCAGCTGATTTCTGCAGGAGGGTTTGAGTCGCTGCTGCAGCCCAGAGTCACTGAATCTCCAGACATTATTACAGCAGATCCACTGATGAACACGAAGATGCTCCTTGGTGGGTCTGAAACAGAATAAACTTGAACTGTTACCTGGCAAAATATTTTCATATCACATGTTGTTTTAATGGTTTCATGTCACAGTTACATTGGTAACTCACACTGGACATCTAAAGTCACAGGATCAGAGTATTTCTCTCCATGGTCATTTCTGGCTCTACACTTGTATTCTCCACTGTAACCAGAGCTGATCTTGGAGATGTTGAAGATTCCTCCAGAATTCAGATATGTATTTGCTTTATACCAGTTGATTTCTGCAGGAGGGTTTGAGTCGCTGCTGCAGTTTAGAGTCACTGAATCTCCCTCCATTATTACAGCAGATCTATTGGAGATCACAGGAGTATCTGGAGCATCTGCAGGTGAAACGTGTAAAAAGGTCACACATTACTTAAAGGGGGTGTTCACAAGATTACCTGACATCATCTGATTAATATTCAATTATCCATGTGAGTAAAAGGACATAGATTTCGTAGTAAACTGTTTGTTAAATATATGATAACTTTCCACCTTTGGTGTGGGCTGCAAGCTTTACACTTTCATGTGTCGAGAGTATTTAGCAATTTATATAGTTTGACTTGTAGAGCAGATTTTCTTTATTATAGTGGCCTTTTCAGGTTTGGTAATTATGCGGTGTAAGGAATAACTGGCTGTTTGAATAAATATTGCCTAAAAAAAAACATTTTAATATTGGTAAAGTATATGTGCAGCTTTTGCGAAGCATCAAATTACTATTATCTGTCCAAACATTCACATGACTGTCATAAATTATCATTCTTTAAAAACAAAAACAAAAATGTTTGCCATGTTTATATATAATTATACAGAAATTGAACTGAAGCTGGGTCAGTATGTTACAATAGTATGTGTTTGCATTAAAAAGTTCTTTGGATCTCTTGAAGAGAACCACCTCCTGACTTGGTCACACTTTATTTTGATGGTCTGTTTGTTAAATTTAATTTACAATGCATCTACATGCCAACTAATTCTTAATAGATTATTTGTAGACTGTTGGTTTAGAGTTAGAATTAGTGTAAGCTGACATGCTCTTATAGTTATTTAAATTTCTGTTAAAGAAGCAGTACGAATAGATATTAAGCAGACAGTCAACTAATACTCAAATAGACCATCAAAATAAAGTGCTACCCATAACCTTTATTTATTGGTTAAAAAAAGAAAAAGATTTCTAATCATAATAGCTTTAATAACTCATCTCTATTAACTGATTTATTTTATCTTTGTCATGATGACAGTAAATAATATTAGACTAGATATTCTTCAAGACACTTCTATACAGCTTAAAGTGACTTTTAAAAGCTTAATTAAGTTAACTAGGCAGGTTAGGGTAATTAGGCAAGCTATTGTATAAAGATGGTTTGTTCTGTAGACTATCAAAGTTAGCTTAAAAGGGGTAATAATATTGACCTTAAATAGTTTTTAAAAAAATTAAAACTGCTTTTATTCCAGCCAAAATAAAACAAATAAGACTTTCTCCAGAAGAAAAAAATATTATCAGACATACTGTGAAAATTTCCTTGCTCTGTTAAACGTCATTTGGAAAATATTTAAAGAAGAGAGAGAAAAAAAAAACCTCAAAGGGGGGAGAATATTTCTGACTTCAACTGTATGTCAGTGTATATCACCTATAGATCACTACTGTAAGTAAATATCAGCATTCGGTACATACTTTCAGTACCCCCTTTGCTTAAAATGACCCAATCTAATCATGTTTATATGAAATAAGCTGCTGCTCAGGAGCAGGTTTGAGCTACCAGACCAGCTGCTATATACTCTCGGATGAGTTTTGAAGAACGAAACAATCCTGGATCATTTCAAAACGTCAATAACCAAATCCAGCTAATTGAGTAATCCACTTACAAAGAACTGTGCCCAGGGGTAAACCTTAATGTTAAGACTGGACTGGGAACAAGAGGAAAACTGGAACTTAAACATGCACAGATCCACAACAAAGACAGATGAACACGATACAGAGGAACTAATGCGGGAAACAGAAAAAAAAGGAACCAAATGACAAAACACACTGGAGGATACGATGAAGTAAACACAGCCTACACAGACATCACATCCAAAACAACAACTTTTCTGCTGTCTTTACTGTGAACACACACGATCAAGTCAGTTCGGGTTTTTCTTTGTCCATTTTGACCTGAAACCCCTGATCATGCGCTTTCATATTTGGCTGACTCCCTTATGTACACATATGTTACACTAATTTTGTCCATGTATTTCACTATATTCACCTAGATATAAGCAATGTAAGAAACAAAGTTGTCAAATGAATTTGGTTCACTTTATTTTAAAGTACAATTCTTATTATACACAATCCATTAACTTAGATATTAGTTTAGATTTAACATACACACCATTTCTAATTAGCTCCTTATACAGCCAATATATTAATAATAGGAAGGTAAAAAGATAGTGGGAATTGGTACGTATGTATGTATTTTAAATTCAGAGAGAGAGAGAGAGAGAGAGAGAGAGAGAGAGAGAGAACTAAAAAGTATTGCTTAAGACTAAAATCACACAACAGCTTTCATATCATATAGTGGCCCTTTTGGATAAGTGAATATTTTATGATGTTGATTGATATTTAATTTATGCATTGACTGCATTTACATTTATTGTAAATCTGAATGCTTTAAAAAGGTGAATAATAAAATGTTAAAATAAAAAGATGAAAAATTACATCTGACATTAAGATAAACAGCAGGAGAGATGTAGGTTTGTCCCTGCACACCACAGCTGTAGTGTCCTGCTTCTGTTCTACTGACTGAGCTGATGTTGAGTTCATCTCCAATATTAGTCAATGTGTGTGAGTTTCTGTACCAGATGAATGTTGGTGTGTCAGTCAGTTTACAGCTGCTTCTACATGTCAGACGGACTGAATCTCCCTCTGTCACTCTCTCAGGAGACTCCAGCTGAAGATCTGAACACAACACACACATTATATCTAGTGCTGCTCTCATACACTGATTATTATTCTACATAATGACCACAAGAAGAGAGAAACCTCAGGAGAGTCACCTGTGACAGAGAGAACCACTCCTGGAATACCAATAAGTCTCCCACCAGTTACATTAGTAATAAATCTGAAATAATAGTCATGTTCATCTTTCTTTGTCACATGACTCAGTCTGACGGTGCAGTTCTGCTGTTTATCTCCCAGATACTGAAGCCTCTGACTGTATTCAAAGTTATTAGACAGATCTGCAAAGTTTTCTCCATCATATTTTTCTTGGTCTTTGTTCCAGAACACTTTCATGATCTGATATCCAGTAGTCGGGTATGTAAAATTGCAGCTGATTGTCATTGTTGAGTTCTGTAGTGCACAGATTTGTGAAGGACTGTAATTCACACCCCAACCAGCAGCAGAAACCCCTGAAACACAGAAATAATCATGATTAAAATGTAGTTTTATCAGTAAACTGGACTATAAGACACTAGGAACATGTGCTGCTAGTTGTAAACAGGGACTCATTACAGATGATATTTTAGGCTGATCTTGTGAATATGAAAAAAGATCTTATTGTGAATGACTTCAGTCATGTTGGAGGACAGAAATAAACAGAGAAGAGCAAATAAACGAGCTAAGAAAAAAAGCAATAATGGTAAACAATGGGGAAATAAAATGAGCAATACATTAATAATAATAAACTAACATGTACAATGCATTTTCTACATTATATTAAATTATATCTGAAGCTTTTACCTTAATAACAAACACTGGATGATGCTGAATTATCCTCATTGAATGAACAAATTCACAATAAGAAACACCAGTTTTAGGGAATTTGCACCAGTTGAGCCCAGCACACACCAACTCAACGTCAAAGAACTAGCAGAAATAGAAGCTGTGTTGTCTCAGACTATCATTGACTTGCTGTCAAAAGCAGCTTTTAGTGTTTTGTTATCCAATCTACTGAGACAAACCTGCTGAATAATGTCTGATTGTGTGGTGTGTGTAAATGCAGAGGAATAAAGCAGTGATGTGAATGTAAGATTGACTCACTGTGAATGATGAGCAGAAAGATCAGATGAAGAGCAGGAGCCATTCTGAGCCACATCAGCATCAAATCTATCTAGAATCCAGCATTAATCATCACTTCTACACTCATCAACAGTAAATGTACATCACCCTAAACAGCCAATATATACCAGTCAGATACCAGTGTGTTTGTCTTACTGTGTTAAAGAGCAGCAGATCAACAGCGACTGACTGTGTGAACAGATGCACTTTAGCTTTACTGGTGTGTGTGTGAGTTGCAGAACTATCCGAGTTCCTACTTCAGCAAAACAACAAAGTCAACCACTGACTAAAGAAAAACAGCATGTCTTTTTTTTCTTTACATTAGTTTGAAGACAGCAAGATTCCATCTTCTTTCATACAATTATTGATGTTTTTGCAGACAGTAAAAGGCTGATTTTCAGTTGATGAACATCAATGTTTATACAGTATCAGTGGCAGGAGATTGAGCCCTCTGCTGGTAGATTTTGCACACACACATATGAGTGAGGTAGTTTGGTCAGGACACCAGGGCTACACCTACTCTTTACCAGAAGTGTCATTGGATTTTAATAAAAATATAGTCAGGACCTCATTTTAACAAATGCAAAACACTCGTGTGCACAGACAGGATAGTGTCATGACTGTCTGTAACCACCAGAGGGAACTCTAAGAGCGAACTACAGTTGCTAAAGACTACAAGTTCATACATACCTCATGCACACACCTGGAACCCACTTATACTGATTGCATCACAGCTGTCTCTGGTTTTCCTGATTGATTCATGGACTATTTATACACCCTTCACCCGTTGTGTCACTGCGTCGTTTGTCTTGTTTGGTATGTTGCTCCTGAGATGTGTTTTGTATCTTGCTGTAGTTCCTGAGCCTTGTTCTAGTTATTCTGCCATAGCTTCTTGTTTTGTTTGTTTCTGTTACTGCACGATTTCATCCCTAAATGCACTTGGATCCAACACCCTTTTCGTCTCCGTCCCGTTAACAAACCGTGAGCGTATAGTGACCCCTTCACTATACTGGGGCATTAGGACCCATCACTATACTGGGGTTTTAGTCTCCAATCTCAGTTTATTTTTTGGTCATTTCAGTGTTGGGCTGCAGGGTGTTCATTAAGTCTTACTCTAATAAATGTATTGTAAGGAGGATAATGAGATTTCATTCAATAAAAGTTCAAAGAAACAGAAATGATGTTATGAATATATAATGTAAATGGATTTTGCCTCTTGTGTCATGTACATCAGCAACATCATTGGTTGATTAGTGTTTTTACTAATATGCAGATTCATAATATGAATTTTCTGTCATTTGCAAAATGAATTATTGATACTCAGGTGGATTTACTAGCACTGTAAAACGCTTTACAGCATTGACAAAGCATTAGTAACAATAAATTACAGACGCGCATTTACACACAAATAAAAATAAAAAAGGTAAAAAAGATTAAATTAGGATGAGAAGTGTTTCAGTCACTGCCACTCTTAACAAAACTGACTAATCAGAATATTGACATTACTCACAATATGATTGGTTATAAATGAAGCAGAACACATTCATATAACTTTTATCACTGTACATCAGAAAACCACATTTCTTTAAGTAGCAGGAGATGGAGACCTCTGCTGGTGGAGTGAGGGTTTTACACATTGAACTCTATTTTAGCAATCTGAGCACAAAAGTCTAAAGCAGATGAGCAAAAGCACCAATGAGGTGTCTGAATCAACTTTTGCTATTTAAGGATTTAGACCGGCACATGGTCTAAAAGGGTCTTACTTATTCTCTTAATCAGTTATGGATGTGTTTAGGGTGTAATATGCAATAACTCAATCAGAGACTCATCTCTCATTCCTTTTAAGAGTCAGGTGTGGGTTCGCCATGGCACATTCACTATTCACATGCCAGACTTTATAAGATGAAAAACTGAAAACTTCATTGGATTCACCAAAGCCCAGAGGTAAAGAAGGCACAGGAGGAGATCAGGGTTTTATGTTCATGCAGACAATAATATTTCTTTTTAGATTTAAAATCTTTAATTTACTTTATATTTTAAGGTCTCTTGAAGTGCTTTGAAATGTGCATTTTTATTCAATGTTTGACTAAAATCTCAACCAAAACATCACCAGAGGGTGGGACATAGTGTAGCTCCTCCCCTTAAAAAAAATCAGCCAATAGTGTTCTGTTTTATCCAGCGAGAGTGGTTGAGCTCAAGTGCATCAAATGAAAAGCAGATGAGCAGCATCTAGAAAGGGGCGGGGCATGTCAGATACTAGAAAGCATTTGATTGGTTATGATGTGACGAGACACTACAGTGTGAGATGACGTAAATAGGCTAAAACTGTTGATCCATTTAAGCAGAAGTGACAAACTACAAGCTTTACATGTTTATATCAGTTTTATATTTTCTAAATGTGAGTTTTGTCATTGTTTTGGAGAACACTAGCTTATAGATTTCCTAAAAACTAACAACACTGATACCAACATCTAAACAAATTTATTATACTTTCATGAGACCTTTAAAAGATATTTATGTACTGCTGTACGTCCCTGTGTGTGTACTAAGTAGTGTGTATGTGCATACATTGCAACACCTCCTCTCCTTGATTTGGCATTACTCTGAGGGGTTCAACAGAAATTTGGCTGGCTGAATAAACGCTCTCTTGAAACAAATTATAGCAAGTGTAAACTCTTTATATTTTACCCACGTGTATAGTTTTCTCATCAAATAAACAAGCAAAACAACAATCACAACAAAAATAAACAAGACATTCCAAAGTCAGACACTAAACAGTTTTTCTGAAAAAAAAGTCAATGACCACTTATCATTAAGAGCACTTGATGCAATAATTCCCTCTGATGTCCTGTCACTTCTTAGAAAAGAGACTGTCGTTGTGTGTAGGAAAGCAGTCAAGTTGCCCTCTGTTGAGTGAGAATATGTTGCTCTCCAAGAAGTTGGTTAATCTTAGCATCTCCCAGTGAGAACAGCAAGCCAAAAGACGCACAAGGATAGCAACATATAAACAGTCCTTTAATTGAGCGATAACTTCAATAGTTCTCAAACATTGGACTGAATGTGAATGCCGATAGCGAAAGTGATCCATGTGGTGTCCACTCTACCAAACACCCCATCTTACTCTATGGTAAGTGGCTCTTTATAAGAGTGCAAATTAACCTAGCGCCCCCGGCGGTCAGAAGCAGTATTGCATGTCAACATGCCAAACAATACACAATGCAAAAAGATAAATAAATAAACCAGACAATAATAATAGTAACATTTAACTGTTACAACATGCATAGGGGCATAACAATAACATGCTCTTTAAGTAATTAACTTTAGAGCAGCTTTCAGTTGATGTCTAAGAAACAGCAATGTGCCAACACTGAGCCTTAACACACCTCCACAGACCAGCACACACATGTGAGCACAAATGTATTCGCTACATAAACAACATTGTGCAAAACGTGAAAATGATACCTGTGCCAGGCTGACACTAGCAAATTGCCAAGTGTATGATAGAGCCTATTGAGTGTAAAATGATAAATTATGACAGATTCCATCACACCTTTAAACATTGCTTTTCCCCTTCACTATCCTAATATTTCTGCATAAAACCAATCCAATAACTTTATAGACAGTTTCAACACCACTGTTACATGTTGACATCACTAATGATCCCTGTCAATCACCCGTGGCTCCGCCCGCACATCTCAGGATTGGTGATTTCTGGCTCCGCCTCTCACTGCAGCCTCCTCCTGTTGATCTGAACAGACAATAAGATGAAGAAAGACTGAAGCTCAACCACATTAAACTCTTTGACGAGGCTCATCCAATAATCAAACTGCTGCTGAGAGGGTTTATGGCTGATATTGTCTCTTACTGGTGGATTGTGATGTTCAGAAGAGCTCTGAGGATCAAGAGTGGAGCAGGAGTTTTCAGCAGGTCTGTGGTGAACGGTCTGTGTGAAAGACAGCGAGAGATCATCAATCATCTGATCATCAGTGAACATTGTCTGACTTTGACTTTCACTTACTGTGAGTGTGTTGTACAGGTCAGAGGTCGCGGACTGGAGATCCAGACCTGCATATGTGTCTGAGTTCTGGACAGAGAGAAGGACATCGTGGCTCTATTTTAATGATCTAAACTCGTGATCTAAAGCACACGGTGCAGGAGCTCATAGGGTGAGTCTGAATCTACTTTTGGTATTTTAAGGATGGCAAAAATGGTCGGTGCACCCAGCACATAGTGTTTAAGGGTTGTCTTTATTCTCTTAATGAGTTATGGGTGTGTTATGCACCAACCAGAGTCTCCAATCTCACATTCCCTTTAAGAATCAGTTGACAGTGCACATAAACATTAAGCTCACAATCTCTTGCTGATCAGCTCTCTCGCTGCATAAACATCAACGGTTTGCTCGGTTCTCTTTGACATAAAATTGCCATCATACATGTGCTGCTGTGCATCCCTGTGTGTCTTAAGCAATGTGTTCACATGTTGTGAACTCACCAATAGAAACATATCACTCTTTAAATATGCTCAAATATGCTCTTTAAATAAAACAAATAAACAAAAAAAAAAAATGAGTCATTGACTTTAGAGCAGCTTGTAGTGGGTCAGTAGTGTGGTCAACTTAATTTGCCTCACAATAGTGAGTGAATAATGAAGATCATCTCACCGCAGACTCTTTCCCTGCAGATCTTCTGCTCTTCCTTTTAAAATGACTGTCAGAATAAAGATAAATATTATTTTACTGAAATGTAGAATAAATAAAGTAAAGTAAAATATATTACTTCAGTTTTATATGATCACTGCAGTTTTTACATTGCTCACATTGCAAATATGATAACGACAATGATGATGATTAATACTCCTACAGATGTCGCTGTGATGATGATGTTTCTCTCAGCATGTTGATGAACTGAAAGATGAAGCAGATCATGATTAACTCTCCAGACTGATGAAGTTACAGGAGTGTGATGATAAAAGCTTCACCAGTGACAGTGACGGCGTCTGATCTCTGAGCTCCATGTGGATTGTGAGCCTCACAGTAGAAGCGTCCACTCTGTACTGCACTGAAACTCTGTCCAGATCCAACAGCTGAGCTTTGATTCTCCTTAAACCAGCTGAAGCTCAGAGCAGGAGGGTTTGAGTCAATGATGCACATCAGACTCACTGAATCAGAAAAAAGCTGACCAGAATCAGTGACGAACACTGAGACGTTCCTGGGAGGATCTGAAACAGAAAACCAAACAACAAACACGGCATCACAGTTTACTTTAGAGCAGTGCATCACCGACTTGGTCCCAGTCATTCCCCTCACTGGCCAGCAGAGGTCACCATCGCCGGACTTCTAACCATTACGTCATGCTCATACACTGATTGCCACACACACCTGCAGCACATCAAACTGATGATCCATGCACACACTTATAAGCGGCTCAGTCCTGTGCACATTACGGAGCGTTATCTCCTTTCTTGATCTCCCGTGTATTACCTGGACTGTTGCTCGACCTTGCTCTGCCTGCCATCTGCCTCGAACCTTGCATTGTACCTTGACTCTGATCCACACCGCCCACCTCTGACCCATGCCCGCTATCACACTCCCTGACAGCCAGCCCATAGACCCTATATAACTACGTTTGATGCAAGTTCGCACGCCAGTGCGTATTGTGTGATTGTGATTAAACTGTGTTTAATAAATATACTGCAAATGGATCACTCTGTGTCAGACTCCTCGTTACACAGCGGTTCTCGAACTTTTTTCATCAAGAGCCACCTCAGAAAAAAAAATGTCTCTCCAAGTACCACCAAAATGAGCAGTATTGAAAGACAGTAGCGTAGTAGGCCCAGTAAAGCAGCTACAACTCTGCACAGATAAAAAAAAAACGTGGCAGATTACCTCAGAAATAAGGCTATGTGTCATATATGGCGTATTATATACATCATTTTTGATAAGTTTTGAAATGTGTGTAGCATGTACATGCCATATTTCATTCCTCCGCGTACCGCTAGAAGGAAGCCTGCGTACCACTAGAGGTATACGTACCACAGTTTGACCACTGCTTTAGAGGATTTAAAGAGAAACTGTTACCCCCCCCCCCCCCCTTTCTTTTTTCTTTTTACAAGATGTAAAATAAGTCTCTGATGTCCGTAACGTTTGGGCTAGGTGTAGATTTGTTTAAAAGCAACTCATAACATTTTAATCATATTTTGGCAATTTGAACAACGTGACTTGAAAAGAGATTCATTCATCTTGTTGAAGGAGACTCAAAGGTCAAAGTCTGTAAAGTGATTTGATCTTCCCATCACTAAGAAATCTTCTGTTAGTCTATGTCGCCTCTGTCGCTGTTCATTTGTGCTTCATCTAAAACTCCACATCTACAATCCTCTTAGTCTATGCTGACATTATCTTCAGCAGCTCAAACACTCTAATGGCTAATGGACAGACGGCTGCTTCTCACTCAGGGCTGCTGTTTATGCTAATGAGGGAGAGATGGGCACTAGTGGGCGGGGCTTTCACCCTCTGATGACACATACAAAGGGAGAATGTCAATCAAAGTGCTTCTGCAGACTGACTTTATCAGGTCTGATTAGAACAAATAATTCATTATTAATTTTAGATGTTGGCTATATTTATACACTTTTGACAAACAACTGTCTAACGTTTTTCATAAAAGGTCCCCCTTAATATATCAGTTGCTGAACCATCATTTACTCACACTGGACATCTAAAGTCACAGGATCAGAGTTTTTCTCTCCATGCTCATTTCTGGCTCTACACTTGTATTCTCCACTGTCATCAGAGCTGATATTGGAGATGTTGAAGATTCTTCCAGATCGAACAACCATTTCTCCTTTATACCAGTTGATTTCTGCAGGAGGGTTTGAGTCGCTGCTGCAGTTCAGAGTCACTGAATCTCCCTCCTTTATTACAGCAGATCTGTTCATAGACACTGAGATGTTCCTGGGTGGGTCTGAAACAGAAAAACACAAACCATTAACAGTTACAATAGTTTTGACATCACAGATTATGTTTTAATGGCTTAATGTCATAGTTTTGGTAACTCACACTGAACATCTAAAGTCACAGGATCAGAGTATTTCTCTCCATGGTCATTTCTGGCTCTACACTTGTATTCTCCACTGTCATCAGAGCTGATCTTGGAGATGTTGAAGATTCTTCCAGAACTCAGAGATTTATTTGCTTTATACCAGCTGATTTCTGCAGGAGGGTTTGAGTCGCTGCTGCAGTTCAGAGTCACTGAATCTCCAGACATTATCACAGCAGATCTGTTGGAGATCACAGGAGTATCTGGAGGATCTGCAGGTGAAACATGTAAAAATGTCAGACATTACCTAAAGGCGGTGTTCATAAGATTACCTGACATCATTCAGTTAATATTCAATTATCCATATGAGCAAAAGTACATACAATTTGTAGTTTAGTATGACACAATAACTTTCCATATTTGTTGTGGGCTGCAGGCTTTACAACTTCATGTGTCGAGAGCATTTAGCAATTTATTTAGTTTTACAGTTAGATTGGATTTTCTTTACTATAGTCGCTTGTTGAAGTTTGTTAATTATGTGGCGTAAGGAATAACTGGCTGTTTAAATTAACTTTCATCAGTAAAGCATTTTGATATTGGTAAAGGTGTCAGCAACTTTTTCAATTAAGGCATATCAGCTCTCCAAACATGCACATGACTCTCATAAATTATAAGTCTTTAAAAACAAAACAACACAAATGTTTGCCATGTTTATCACCATACTAAAATTGTACTGAAGCTAAGATGGTACATTAAAATAGTGCGTGTTTGTATCTAAAAAGTTCTTTGAATCTCTTGAGGAAGACCACCACATGACAATTTATTTCATATATCTAGTCAAATATTATTTACTGTCATCATGAGCTAAAATAAATCAGTTATTAGAGATGAGTTATTAAAACTATTATTTTTAGAATTGTGCTGAGCAAAGTTTTCCTTTCGTTAAACAGAAGTTGGGGAAAAATAAACACGGGTGCTAACAACTCAGGGGGGCTAATAACTCTGACTTTAATATATATATATATATATATATATATATATATATATATATATATATATATATATATATATATATATATATGTATATATATATATATATATATATATATTGAAAACTAATATACTATTTTTCCAAGTGTAAATAACTACTTCTGTAATAAAGTATCAGCATTTGGAACATACTTTCAGCATTAACTTTGCTTGAAAAGACCCAATCTAATCCTGTTCATGTGAAATAAGCTGCTGATCCCGAGCAGGTTTGAGCTACCAGAACTTAAACACACTGACCAATGACAAAGACAGATGAACAATACAGAGGAACTAATGCGGGAAACAGAACAAAAGGAACCAAATGACAAAACACACAGGAGGAAACGGGGAAGTAAACACAGCGTACACAGACATCACATTCAAACCATCAACTTCTCTGCTGTCTTTACTGTGAATACACACGATCAAGTCAAACCTGTGTTTGAAATTTCTTTTTCTATTTTGACCTGAAACCCCTGATCATGTGCTTTCATATTTGGCTGACTCAATTATGTCCACATATATGTATATATATACGATGAATTGGCATATAAACTAAAATGTTGTCTGTATTTTAAATTCAGAGAGAGAGAGAGAGAGAGAGAGAGAGAGAGGAATAAAAAGCATTTCTTGAGACTAAAATCACACAACATCTTTCACATCATATTGTGGCACGATTGCATAAGTGAGTATTTTATGATTCTGATCGATATTTAATTTATGCATTGACTACGTTTACATTTATTGTAGGTCTGAATGCTTTAAGAAGGTGAATAATAAAATGTTTAAATAAAAAGATGAAACTTACATGTGACATTGAGATAAACAGCAGGAGAGATGTAGGTTTGTCCCTGCACACCACAGCTGTAGTGTCCTGCTTCTGTTCTGTTGACTGGACTGATGTTGAGTTCATCTCCAATATTAGTCAATGTGTGTGAGTTTCTGTACCAGATGAATGTTGGTGTGTCAGTCAGTTTACAGCTGCTTCTACATGTCAGACGGACTGAATCTCCCTCTGTCACTCTCTCAGGAGACTCCAGCTGAAGATCTGAACACAACACACACATTATATCTAGTGCTGCTCTCATACACTGATTATTATTCTACATAATGACCACAAGAAGAGAGAAACCTCAGGAGAGTCACCTGTGACAGAGAGAACCACTCCTGGAATACCAATAATTTTCCCAGTAGTTACATTTGTAGTGAATCTGAAAAGATAGTCGTGTTCATCTTTCTTTGTCACATGACTCAGTCTGACGGTGCAGTTCTGCTGTTTATTTCCCAGATACTGAAGCCTCTGACTGTATTCAGGGTTCACAGACAGATCTGCAAACTCTACTCCATCAGGTTTTACCTGGTCTATGTTCCAGAATGCTTTCATGATCTGATATCCAGTAGTCGGGTATATAAAAGTGCAGCTGATTGTCATTGTTGAGTTCTGTAGTGCACAGTATTGTGAAGGACTGTAATTCACACCCCAATCAGCAGCAGAAACCCCTGAAACACAGACATCATCATAATGATCATCATCAATATAACTGAACTATGTTTTAACTATATATGTTCTAGAGACACATGCTGCTTTACTAGTTGTAAACAGTGACTCATTACAGATGATATTTTAAGCTGATCTTGTGAATATGAATAATGATCTCAGTGTGACTTCAGTCTTAATCAAATAACTAGCAGAAATACAAACTGACTGTGTTGTCTCTCTTGTATTTTGTTGTCCAATCTACTGAGACGAACACAAGATATTGACTGTTGTCACTGTGAAGATTTTGCCAGCACTTTAATGCATCCCAACCAAAACCAAAGGTGTGAAGGAAACACTTAAAAAGAAAGGTTGACAATTAAATTATACTCTCTACTGAGAAAACAGCTGAAGTATTGATAATCTACCAGGACAGCCTAACTTCCTATATCAGAGAGAAGATCAGAAGATGATCAGAAACCTGCTGAATAATGTCTGATTGTGTGGTGTGTGTAAATGCAGAGAAATAAAGCAGTGATGTGAATGTAAGATTGACTCACTGTGAATGATGAGCAGAAAGATCAGATGAAGAGCAGGAGCCATTCTGAGCCACATCAGCATCAAATCTATCTAGAATCCAGCATTAATCATCACTTCTACACTCATCAACAGTAAATGTACATCACCCTAAACAGCCAATATATACCAGTCAAATACCAGTGTGTTTGCCTTACCGTGTTGAAGAGCAGAGGATCAACAGCGACTGATGGACTGAGCGTGTGAAGAGATGATCTTTAACTTCACTGGCTGTGTGTGAGTTGCAGAACTATCTGAGTTCCTACTTCAGCAAAACAACAAAAAGTCAACCACTGATTAAAGAAAAACAGCATGTCTTTTTTCCCCTTTACATTAGTTTGAAGACAGCAAGATTCCATCATCTTTCATACAATTATTGATGTGTTTGCAGACAATAAAAGGCTGATTTTCAGTTGATGAACATCAATGTTTATACAGTATCAGTGGCAGGAGATAGAGCCCTCTGCTGGTAGATTTTGCACACACACATATGAGAGGTAATTTGGTCAGGACACCAGGGTTACACCTACTCTTTACCAGAAGTGTTATTGGATTTTAATAAAAATAGAGTCAGAACCTCATTTTAACAAATGCAAAACACTCGTGTGCACAGACAGTATAGTGTCATGACTGTCTGTAACCACCAGAGGGAACTCTGAGAGCAAACTACAATTGCTAAAGACTACAAGTTCATACATACAAAGTGCACACACCTGGAACCCACTTATACTGATTGCAACACAGCTGTCTCCGTTTGTCCTGATTGATTCATGGACTATTTATACACCCTTCACCCGTCGGTTGGTATGTTGCTCCTGAGATGTGTTTTGTATCTTGCTGTAGTTCCTGAGCCTTGTTCTAGTTATTCTGCCATAGCTTCTTGTTTTGTTTGTTTGTTTGTTGTTATTTTGTTGCTTTGAATTTTGCATGTCTTGGTTTTTCTGTTACTGCACGATTTCATCATTAAATGCACTTGGATCCAACACCATTTTTGTCTCCGTCCCGTCAACAAACCGTGATAGTATAGTGACCCCTTCACTATTCTAGGGCATTAGGACCCATCACTATACTGGGGTTTTAGTCTCATATTTCAGTTTATTTTTTTAATTTCAGTGTTGGGCTGCAGGGTGTTCATTAAGTCTTACTCTAATAAATATACTGTTAGGAGGATAAGGAGATTTAATAAAAGTTTAAAGAAACAGGAAGGATGTTATGAATATATAATGTAAAGGGCTTTTGCCACTTGTGTCATGCACATCAGCAACATCATTGGTTTATTAGTGTTTTTACTAATATGCAGATTCATAATATGAATTTTCTGTCATTTGCAGAATGAATTATTGGCACTGTAAAACGCTTTACAATATTGACAAAGCATTAGCAACAATAAATTACAGACGCACATTTACACACAATTGAAAATAAAAAGGTAAAAGATTAAACAAATCAGGATGAGAAGTGTTTCAGTCACTGCCACTCTTAACAAAACTGAGTAATCAGAATATTGATATTACTCACAATATGATTGGTTATAAATGAAGCAGAACACATTCATTTAACTTTAAGCACTGTACATCAGAAAACCACATTTCTTTAAGTAGCAGGAGATGGAGACCTCTGCTGGTGGAGTGAGGGTTTTACACATTGAACTCTATTTTAGTAATCTGAGCACAAAAGTCTAAAGCAGATGAGCAAAAGCACCAAGGATGTGTCTGAATCAACTTTTGCTAATTAAGGATTTAGACCAGCACATGATCTAAAAGGGTCTTACTTATTCTCTTAATCAGTTATGGATGATTAGGGTGTAATATGCAATAACTCAATCAGAGACTCATCTCTCATTCCCTTTAAGAGTCAGGTGTGGGCTCGCCATGGCACATTCACTATTCACTGAAAACTTCATTGGATTCATCAAAGCCCAGAGGTAAAGAAGGCACAGGAGGAGATCAGGATTTTATATTCATGCAGACAATAATATTTCTTTTTACATTTTAAATCTTTATTTTTCTTTATATTTTAAGGTCTCTTGAAGTGCTTTGAAATGTGCATTTTTATTCAATGTTTGACTAAAATCTCAACCAAAACATCACCAGAGGGTGGGACATAGTGTAGCTCCTCCCCTTTAAAAAATCAGCCAATAATGCTTTGTTTTATCACCGCTCTGCCAGTGAAAGTGGTTGAGCTCAAGTGCATCAAGTGAAAAGCAGATGAGAAGCATCTAGAAAGGGGCGGGGCATGTCAGATACTAGAAAGCATTTGATTGGTTATGATGTGACGAGACACTACAGTGTGAGATGACGTAAATAGGCTAAAACTGTTGATCCATTTAAGTGGAAGTGACAAACTACAAGCTTTACATGTTTATATCCGTTTTATATCTTTTAAATGTGAGTTTTGTCATTGTTTTGGAGAACACTAGCTTATAGATTTCCTTAAAACTAACAACACTGATACTAACATCTAAACAAATTTATTATACTTTCATGAGACCTTTAAAGATATTTATGTACTGCTGTACGTCCCTGTGTGTGTAATGAGCAGTGTGTATATGCATACATTGCAACACCTCCACTCCTTGATTCAGAATTACTCTGAGGTGTTTCTACAGAAATTTGGCTGACTGAATAAACGCTCTCTTGAAACAAATTATAGCAGGTGTAAACTGTTTTATTTTACCCACGTGTATAGTTTTCTCATCAAATAAACAAGCAAAACATCAATCACAACAAAAGTAAACAAGACATTCCAAAGTCAGAAACTAAACAGTTTTTCTGAAAAAAGTCAGAGACCACTTATCATCAAGAGCACTTGATGCAATAATTCCCTCTGATGTCCAGTAACTTCTTAGAAAAGAGACTGTCGTTGTGTGTAGGAAAGCAGTCAAGTTGCCCTCTGTTGAGTGAGAATATGTTTCTCCCCAAGAAGTTGGTTAAACTTAGCATCTCCCAGTGAGAACAGCAAGCCAACAGATGCACACGGATAGCAACATATAAACAGTCCTTTAATTGAGAGATAACTTCAATAGTTCTCAAACATTGGACTGAATGTGAATGCCGGTAGTGAAAGGGATCCATGTGGTGTCCACTCTACCAAACACCTTATCATACTCTATGGTAAGTGGCTCTTTATGAGGGTGCAAATTAACCTAGCGCCCCCAGTGGTCAGAAGCAGTATTGCATGTAAACATGCCAAACAATACACAATGCAGAAAGATAAATAAATAAACCAGACAATAATAGTAAAATTTAACTGTTACAACATGCATAGGGGCATAACAATAACATGCTCTTTAAGTAATTAACTCTAGAGCAGCTTTTAGTTGATGTCTAAGAAATAGCAATGTGCCAACACTGAGCCTCAATACACCACCAGACCAGCACAGACATGTGAGCACAAATGGGTGCAAATGTATTCGCTATATAAACAACATGGTGCGAAACAGGAAAATGATACCTGCGCCAGGCTGACACTAGCAAATTACCAAGTGTATGATAGAGCCTATTTAGTGTAAAATGATAAATTGTGACAGATTCTGTCACATTACTAAACATTGCTTTTCTCCTTCACTATCCTAATATTTCTGCATAAAACCAATCCAATAACTTTGTAGACAGTTTCAACACCACTGTTACATGTTGACATCACTAATGCTCCCTGTCAGTCACCCGTGGCTCCGCCCGCACATCTCAGGATTGGTGATTTCTGGCTCCGCCTCTCACTGCAGCCTCCTCCTGTTGATCTGAACAGACAATAAGATGAAGAAAGACTGAAGCTCAACCACATTAAACTCTTTGACGAGGCTCATCCAATAATCAAACTGCTGCTGAGAGGGTTTATGGCTGATATTGTCTCTTACTGGTGGATTGTGATGTTCAGAAGAGCTCTGAGGATCAAGAGTGGAGCAGGAGTTTTCAGCAGGTCTGTGGTGAACGGTCTGTGTGAAAGACAGCGAGAGATCATCAGTCATCTGATCATCAGTGATCATTGCCTGACTTTGAGTTTGTACTTACAGCAAGTGTGTTGTACAGGTCAGAGGTCGTGGACTGTAGATCCAGACCTGCATATGTGTCTGAGTTCTGGACAGACAGAAGGACATTGTGGCTCTATTTTAATGATCTCAACTTGTGATCTAAAGCACATGGTGCAGGAGCTCCTATAGGGTGAGTCTGAATCCACTTTTGGTATTTTAAGGATGGCAAAAAAGGTTGGGGCACCCAGCACATAGTGTTTAAGGGTTGTCTTTATTCTCTTAATGAGTTATGGACCAAGCAGAGTTTCCAATCTCACATTCCCTTCAAGTATTAGTTGACAGTGCACATAAACATCAAGCTCACGATCTCTTGCTGATCAGTTCTCCCGCTGCATAAACATCAACGGTTTGATCGGTTCTCTTTGACATAAAATTGCCATCATACATGTGCTGCTGTGCATCCCTGTGTGTGTAATGGGTAATGTGTTTACATTTTGTGAACTCAACTATAGGCACACATCACTAACATGCTCTTAAATAAAACAAATAAACAAAAATAGCGTGCCATTGACTTTAGAGCACCTTTTAGTGGGTCAGTAGTGCGGTCAACTTAATTTGAGTCAAAATAGTGAATAATGAAGATCATCTCACCGCAGACTCTTTCCCTGCAGATCTTCTGCTCTTCCTTTTAAAAAGACTGTCAGAATAAAGATGAAAATATTTTTTTACTTCAATGTCAGATAAATTTGGCAAAGTAAAATATATTACTTCAGTTTTATACGATCACTGCAGTTTTTATTGAGCTCACATTGCAAACATGACGCGATGATGAAGATGATTAATATTGCTACAGATGTCGCTGTGATGACGATGTTTCTCCCTGCATGCTGATGAACTGAAAGATGAAGCAGATCATGATTAACTCTCCAGACTGATGAAGTTACAGGAGTGTGATGATAAAAGCTTCACCAGTGACAGTGACGGCGTCTGATCTCTGAGCTCCATGTGGATTGTGAGCCTCACAGTAGAAGCGTCCACTCTGTACTGCACTGAAACTCTGTCCAGATCCAACAGCTGAGCTTTGATTCTCCTTAAACCAGCTGAAGTTCAGAGCAGGAGGGTTTGAGTCACTGATGCACATCAGACTCACTGGATCAGAAAAAGGCTGACCAGAATCAGTGACAGACACTATGATGGACACATTCCTGGGAGGATCTGAAACAGAAAAAAAACAACAACAGTGATATAATTAAGATTCTCAATGAATAAGGCATCACATTTGATTGCAATAGATGAATCAATATATCAGTTACTGAACCATCCAAAACTCACACTGGACATTTAAAATCAAAGCAAAAGAGTATTCCTCTCCATGGTTATTTCTGGCTCTACACTTGTATTCTCCACTGTCATCAGAGCTGATCTTGGAGATGCTGAAGATTCTTCCAGAATTCAAATATTTATTTCCTTTATACCAGTTGATTTCTGCAGGAGGGTTTGAGTCACTGCTGCAGCCCAGAGTCACTGAATCTCCAGACATTATTACAGCAGATCCACTGATGAACACGAAGATGCTCCTTGGTGGGTCTGAAACAGAATAAACTTGAACTGTTACCTGGCAAAATATTTTCATATCACATGTTGTTTTAATGGTTTCATGTCACAGTTAGCATTGGTAACTCACACTGGACATCTAAAGTCACAGGATCAGAGTTTTTCTCTATGGTCATTTCTGGCTCTACACTTGTATTCTCCACTGTCATCAGAGCTGATCTTGGAGATGTTGAAGACTCCTCCAGAATTCAGATATGTATTTGCTTTATACCAGTTGATTTCTGCAGGAGGGTTTGAGTCGCTGCTGCAGTTCAGAGTCACTGAATCTCCCTCCATTATTACAGCAGATCTATTGGAGATCACAGGAGTATCTGGAGCATCTGCAGGTGAAACGTAAAAATGTCGCACATTACTTAAAGGCTGTGTTCATAAGATTACCTGACATCATCCAGTTAATATTCAATTATCCATGTGAGCAAAAGGGCAGATTTCGTAGTAAACTGTTTGTTAAATAAATGATAACTTTCCACCTTTGTTGTGGGCTGCAGGCTTTACACTTTCATGTGTCGAGAGTATTTAGCAATTTATATAGTTTGACTTGTAGAGCAGATTTTCTTTATTATAGTGGCCTTTTCAGGTTTGGTAATTATGCGGTGTAAGGAATAACTGGCTGTTTGAATAAATATTGCCTAAAAAAAACATTTTAATATTGGTAAAGTATATGTGCAGCTTTTGCGAAGCATCAAATTACTATTAGCTGTCCAAACAATCACATGACTCTCATAAATTATCATTCTTTAAAAACAAAAACAAAAATGTTTGCCATGTTTATATATAATTATACAGAAATTGAACTGAAGCTGGGTCGGTATGTTAAAATAGTATGTGTTTGCATTAAAAAGTTCTTTGGATCTCTTGAAGAGAACCACCTCCTGACTTGGTCACACTTTATTTTGATGGTCTGTTTGTTAAATTTAATTTACAATGCGTCTACATGCCAACTAATTCTTAATAGATTATTTGTAGACTGTTAGTGTGAGCTGACATGCACTTATAGTTAGTTAAATTTCTGTTAAAGAAGCAGTATGAATAGATATTAAGCAGACAATCAACTAATACTCAAATAGACCATCAAAATAAAGTGCTACCCTTATCTTTTATTTATTGGTTAAAAAAGAAAAAGATTTCTAATCATAATAGTTTAATAACTCATCTCTAATAACTGATTTATTTTTATCTTTGTCATGATGACAGTAAATAATATTAGACTAGATATTCTTCAAGACACTTCTACACAGCTTCAAGTGACATTTAAAGGCTTAAATAGGTTAATTAGGGTAACTAGGCAGGTTAGGGTAATTAGGCAAGTTATTGTATAACGATGGTTTGTTCTGTAGACTATCAAAGTTAGCTTAAAAGAGGCTAATAATATTGACCTTAAAATAGTTTTTAAAAATATTAAAACTGCTTTTATTCCAGCCAAAATAAAACAAATAAGACTTTCTCCAGAAGAAAAAATATTATCAGACATACTGTGAAAATTTCCTTGCTCTGTTAAACGTCATTTGGAAAATATTTAAAGAAGAGAGAGAAAAAAAAAAACCCTCAAAGGGGGCGAATATTTCTGACTTCAACTGTATGTCAGTGTATATCACCTATAGATCACTACTGTAAGTAAATATCAGCATTCGGTACATACTTTCAGTACCCCCTTTGCTTAAAATGACCCAATCTAATCATGTTTATATGAAATAAGCTGCTGCTCAGGAGCAGGTTTGAGCTACCAGACCAGCTGCTATACAACTCTCGGATGAGTTTTGAAGAACGAAACAATCCTGGACCGTGTCAAAACGTCAATAACCAAATCCAGCTAACTGAGTAATCCTCTTACAAAGAACAGGGGTAAACCTTAATGTTAAGACTGGACAGGGAGCAAGAGGAAAACTGGAACTTAAACACGCACAGATCCACAACAAAGACAGATGAACACGATACAGAGGAACTAATGCGGGAAACAGAAAAAAAAGGAACCAAATGACAAAACACACTGGAGGATACGGTGAAGTAAACACAGCCTACACAGACATCACATTCAAAACAACAACTTTTCTGCTGTCTTTACTGTGAATACACACGATCAAGTCAGTTCGGGTCTTTCTTTGTCCATTTTGACCTGAAACCCCTGATCATGTGCTTTTATATTTGGTTGACTCCCTTATGTACACATATGTTACACAAATGTTGTCCATGTATTTCACTATATTTACCTAGATATAAGCAATGTAAGAAACAAAGTTGTCAAATTAATTTGGTTCACTTTATTTTAAAGTACAATTCTCATTATACACAATCCATTAACTTAGATATTAGTTTAGATTTAACATACACACCATTTCTAATTAGCTTCTTATACAGCCAATATATTAATAATAGGAAGGTAAAAAGATAGTGGGAATTGGTAAATAAACTAACATGTTGAGAGAGAGAGAGAGAGAGAGAGAGAGAGAGAGAGAGAGAGAACTAAAAAGCATTGCTTAAGACTAAAATCACACAACAGCTTTCACATCATCTAGTGGCCCTTTTGGATAAGTGAATATTTTATGATTTTGATTGATATTTAATTTATGCATTGACTACGTTTACATTTATTGGAGGTCTGAATGCTTTAAGAAGGTACATACTTAAAGGTTAAATCAAAAAGATGAAAACTTACATCTGACATTGAGATAAACAGCAGGAGAGATGTACGTTTGTCCCTGCACACCACAGCTGTAGTGTCCTGCTTCTGTTCTACTGACTGAGCTGATGTTGAGTTCATCTCCAATATTAGTCAATGTGTGTGAGTTTCTGTACCAGATGAATGTTGGTGTGTCAGTCAGATTACAGCTGCTGTTACATGTCAGACGGACTGAATCTCCCTCTGTCACTCTCTCAGGAGACTCCAGCTGAAGATCTGAACACAACACACACATTATATCTAGTGCTGCTCTCATACACTGATTATTATTCTACATAATGACCACAAGAAGAGAGAAACCTCAGGAGAGTCACCTGTGACAGAGAGAACCACTCCTGGATAACCAGTCCACTGTCCTCCTGTTACATTAGTAATGAATTTGAAATAATACCGGCCTTCATCATTCTTTGTCACATGACTCAGTCTGACGGTGCAGTTCTGCTGTTTATCTCCCAGATACTGAAGCCTCTGACTGTATTCAGGGTTATTAGAAAGATCTGGAGGGTTTTGCCAATCTGTAGGGTCTTTAGTCCAGAACACTTTCATGATCTGATATCCAGTAGTCGGGTATGTAAAAGTGCAGCTGATTGTCATTGTTGAGTTCTGTAGTGCACAGAATTGTTTAGGACTGTAATTCACACCCCAATCAGCAGCAGAAACCCCTGAAACACAGAGATAGCCATGACTAAAATATAGTTTATCAGTTACACTGGACTGTAAGACTCTAGGAACACTAGGAATATTTATAATGTTCTAACATGTAAACTACAAGTTCAATTAAACTGCAGCTTTTATCATAAATGACAAACACTGGAGGATGCTGAATTATCCTCACTGTATGTAGATATTTACAATAAGAAATTTCTACCATTTATGCCCAGGACAGACCAAGATGATTTAGCAGAAATGATTCTCGCATGAATCTCTGATTGTCTCTCGGTTGTTGTCTCACAGACTGTCATTGACTAACTGTCAAAAGCCATTTTTTTCTGTGTTGTGGTCCAATTGGCTGTTGTCACCATGAAGATAGTGTCAGCACTAGTGCATCAACATCTTAAAACAAGGGTGTGGAAATAATGCAAAAACAGGAGGATTTCATGACAGATGATCATCAGAGCACAGAAACCTGCTGAATAATGTCTGATTGTGTGGTGTGTGTAAATGCAGAGAAATAAAGCAGTGATGTGAATGTAAGATTGACTCACTGTGAATGATGAGCAGAAAGATCAGATGAAGAGCAGGAGCCATTCTGAGCCACATCAGCATCAAATCTATCTAGAATCCAGCATTAATCATCACTTCTACACTCATCAACAGTAAATGTACATCACCCTAAACAGCTCTTAGTGTTAGGAAGATCTTTACACATCTGCAGATTATTAATGCACAACATCAGTGTGTGTAAATCAACTGATGACTGAGATCAACACAAGATATTTCTCATGTCACAAATCATGTGTTATATGAGCTTCATCTACACTAATCATCAGTCAAATACCAGTGTGTTTGTCTTACCGTGTTGAAGAGCAGCAGATCAACAGCGACTGACTGTGTGAACAGATGCACTTTGGCTTTACTGGTGTGTGTGTGAGTTGCAGAACTATCTGAGTTCCTACTTCAGCAAAACAAAAACAACCCAACCACTGACTAAAGAAAAATAGCATGTGTTGTTTTCTTCCCATCTAAAGACTGCAAGATTTCATCTTCCATCTTACACGTATTGATGTTTTTGCAGACAAAAAGTGGGTTTTCAGTTGATGAACATCAATGTTAATACAGTATTAGTTGCAGGAGATACACTGAAAAAAATATTCAAAGATGATTCTTTGGATTTGCTCATTTTTTTTACGTTAAATGGTTGTAAACTATTTATTTGTGTTGAATTTAAACAAACAAACTAAGTTGAACATTATTAAACTCAATTTGTTTGTTTAAATTCATTACAAATAAATTGTTTGCAACAGTTCTGCATGCAACACTTGTAGAGCCCTCTGCTGGTAGATTTTGCACACACACATATGAGTGAGGTAATTTGGTCTGGACACCAGGGTTACACCCCTGTTCTTTACCAGAAGTGCCATTGCATGTTTAATGACCACAGAGTTTAACATCTCAACCAAAAAAAAAAAAAAAAAAAAAAACAGACAACCGTCACTATACTAGGGTATTAGGGCACATCACTATACTAGGGTATTAGGGCACTTCACTATACTAGGGTATTAGGGCACTTCACTATACTAGGGTATTAGGGCACTTCACTATACTAGGGTATTAGGGCACTTCACTATACTAGGGTATTAGGGCACATCACTATACTAGGGTATTAGGACACTTCACTATACTAGGGTATTAGGGCACATCACTATACTAGGGTATTAGGGCACTTCACTATACTAGGGTATTAGGGCACATCACTATACTAGGGCTTTAGGGCACATCACTATACTGGGGCTTTAGGGCACATCACTATACTGGGGCTTTAGGGCACATCACTATACTAGGGTATTAGGGCACATCACTATACTGGGGCTTTAGGGCACATCACTATACTGGGGCTTTAGGGCACATCACTATACTAGGGCTTTAGGGCACATCACTATACTGGGGCTTTAGGGCACATCACTATACTAGGGCTTTAGGGCACATCACTATACTGGGGCTTTAGGGCACATCACTATACTAGGGCTTTAGGGCACATCACTATACTGGGGCTTTAGGGCACATCACTATACTAGGGCTTTCGGGCACATCACTATACTGGGGCTTTAGGGCACATCACTATACTAGGGTATTAGGGCACATCACTATACTGGGGCTTTAGGGCACATCACTATACTGGGGCTTTAGGGCACATCACTATATGGTTTCAAAAGAATGAATCCTTCCATGTAATAAGCATAGGTTTTACATATAAAATGGACATATGCACTTTGCGTATGCTATATAAATGTCACAAAACTTGCAAACTGTATATTATTTAACAATCACTAGTAAAATAAACAACATATCAATAATAAAAAAGCATTTAAAATAAACTTCCTAATGATTTTTCTGGCTGTAACACTGATTAAGAGCACTACTAATAGTAACCTAGTTTTCCCATGTGGTCTCCCACTTCAGGGCTGCAGGAAGTTCATTAAGGTGTCTCTAATAAATGTATTGTTAGAGAATAATGAGATTTGATTTAATTAAAGCTGAAAGAATGAGCAATGACTCGTGTGTAATGTCAGAAGTAAGGAGCTTTTGTCTCTTGTGTCATGTCCAGCAGCAACATCATTGGTTGATTTTATTGTTTTTATTGTTTTTACTAATATGCAGATTCATAACACTTTAATAATTTTCTGTCATGTGCAGACGCTCAAATGGGTTTAACAGTTTAATCAGTGCATAAATAACAGAGGAGGCTGAAAAACATGTATTATTGATACTCAGGTGGATTTATTGACACTCTAAAAGACTTTACAGCATTGACAGCATTAGTAACAATACATTACAGACACACACTTACACACATTTAAAAATAAAAAAGTAAAAAAGACGAAACATAAATCATGATGATAATTGTTTCAGTCACCATCACCCTTTACAAAACTGACCGACTAACCATATTGATATTACTCACAGTATTGGTTATTAATAAAGCTGAACACGTTCACATAACTGTAAGCACTGTACATCAGAAAACCACATTTCTTTAAGTGGCAGGAGATGGAGACCTCTGCTGGTGGAGTGAGGGTGTGTAGCACATATGAGACATTAAGCTCCATATTAGCAATCTAAGTGAAAAGTCTAAAGCAGATGGGCAAAAGCACCAATGAGGTGTCTGAATCAACGTTTGCTGTTTTAAGGATTCATTCTTATTCTCTTAATGAGTTGTGGGTGTGTTTAGAGAGTAACGTGCATTACACCAGTCAGAGACTCATCTCTCATTCACTTTAGTGAGTTGTGGTCTCGCCATGCAATATCTGCTATATACATGTAAGCCTTTATAAGCAGAAAAACTTCACCTTCATTGAATTCACCGAAGCAAAGAAAGCATTGGAGGAGCTTGCAGTTTTTATATTCATGTAGACAATAATATTTATTTTTACATTTTAAATCTTTAATTTTTCCTACTTAAAGATATTTGTGTACTGCTGTACATCCCTGTGTGTGTAATAAGCAGTGTGTACATTCATTTTGGACCTGCATAGACACATAAAAGTAACGCAATCTTTAAATAAAAAAACCCTGTGCCCTTGACTTTAGAGGAGCTCTTAGTTGGTTAGTAGCTTTCAGTTGCCTCAAAATAACAACGTGCCAACAATGCGCCTTAACACACCTCCTTTTTAGACCAGCGCAGCCAAGTGCACACAAATTCATTTGCTGTAAAGACAATGCAGTGCAAATGTGAAAATGCTACCTGTGCCGAGCTGACACTAGCAAATTACATTTGCGCCAAGTGTATGATAGGGGCTATTGAGTGTAAAATGATCCATTGTGATATAAAAACCCCCATATAATGGTAAATAAAGTAAACATTGTTTTTTCCCCTCCCTATCTTAAGCTTTTTAGACAGTTTCAACACCACTGTTAAACATTGACAACACTAATGATCCCTGTCAATCACCTGTGGCTCCGCCCACACAGCTCAGGATTGGTTGTTTCTGGCTCCGCCTCTCACTGCAGCCTCCTCCTGTTGATCTGAACAGACAATAAGATGAAGAAAGACTAAAGCTCAACCACATTAAACTCTTTGACGAGGCTCATCCAATAATCAAACTGCTGCTGAGAGGGTTTATGGCTGATATTGTCTCTTACTGGTGGATTGTGATGTTCAGAAGAGCTCTGAGGATCAAGAGTGGAGCAGGAGTTTTCAGCAGGTCTGTGGTGAACGGTCTGTGTGAAAGACAGCGAGAGATCATCAATCATCTGATCATCAGTGACCATTGCCTGACTTTGACTTTCACTTACTGTGAGTGTGTTGTACAGGTCAGGGGTCGCGCACTGGACATCCAGATCTGCATAAGTGTCTGAGATCTGGACAGAGAGAAGGACATTGTGGCTCTATTTCAATGATCTAAACTTGTGGTATAAAGCACATGGTGCAGGAGTTCATAGAAATGCCAACTGGCCCAGCCGGGACATTCTTACTTTGAGGTGAACCATTTACATTTACATTTAGTCATTTAGCAGACGCTTTTATCCAAAGCAACTTACAAATAAGGACAAGAAAGCAACTTACACAACTATAAGAGCAACAATGAATAAGTGCTGTAGGCAAGTTTCAGGTATGTAAAGTGTAAGAAGCAAAACATTAGTAATTTTTTTTGTAATACAGCGGTTAGCGGTAGAACCAGAGAGGCAATTGCAGATTAGGAAGGGAAGTGGAGACTAAATAGTTGAGTTTTTAGTGAATTTAGTGAGTGACTCTGCCGTTCTGCCGTTAGGGAGTTTTGAACGCGAGAGTTTGGGAAAGTGATTTCTTCCCTCTTTGGGATGAAACCACGAGGCGACGTTTATTCAAAGAACACAAGTTTCTGGAGGGCACATACATCTGCAGAAGTGAGAGCAGATAAGAAGGAGCAAAGCAAGAAGTCGCTTTGTAAGCAAACATCAGAGCTTTGAATTTGATGCGAGCAGCAACTGGCAGCCAGTGCAAACGGATAAGCAGCGGAGTGACATGTGCTCTTATAGATTCAATAAAGACCACTCGTGCTGCTGCGTTCTGGAGCATCTGAAGAGGTTTGATAGAGTTAGCTGGGAGCCCGGCTAGTAGAGAGTTGCAATAGTCCAGTCTGGAGAGAACAAGAGCTTGAACAAGAAGTTGAGCTGCATGTTCAGATTGGACTGTCTATCAGTCTAACCACCGTGCTGCCCCGTCACATCACTAACATGCTTTTTAAATAAAAACAAACCAGCAAAAAAATAAAAAATAAACCTCATCATTGACTTTAGAGCAGCTTTTAGTTGGTCGATGCCGTTTATTTCAGTCACCTCAAAATAGCAACACATCAACAATGTGCCTTAACACACCTCCTTAGCAGACCAGCATGCACAAATGAACTGCAATGTGAACAATGTGAAAATGATTCCTGACCTAGACTGAAAATAACAAAATAAAGACACTTGCGTCACACCTATATGATAGTGCTTAACTGAGGTTTGAGCTGAACTACATTAATGTCCAGAGGATCTCAATGTAAGTCAGTTTTCACTGTACACTCTTAATATCTCTGTATGATCATCACTGCTGTAGGAAACATGCAGGAAAACAGTAAATAATGAAGATCATCTCACCACAGACTCTTTCACTGCAGATCTTCTGCTCTTCCTTTTAGAAAGACTGTCAGAAAAAAGATGAAACATGTCTTTTACTTCAATGTAAGATGAATTAGGTACAGGTTTTATTGAGCTCACATTGCAAACATGATGATGGTGATGATGATGATGATGAATAATAATCCTCCAGTTGTCGCTGTGATGATGATCATGTTTCTCCAAGCTCCTTGATTAACTGAAAGATGAAGCAGATCATGATTAACTCTCCAGACTGATGAAGTTACAGGAGTGTGATGATAAAAGCTTCACCAGTGACAGTTTACCTTAGAGCAGTGGTTCTCAAACTTTTTTCATCAAGTACCACCTAAGAAAAAAATTGTCTCTCCAAGTACCACCAAAATGAGCAGTATTGAAAGACAATAGCGTAGTAGGCCTGTAATACAGCTACGCCTCTGCACAGTTAAAAAAACGTGGCAGATAACCTCAGAAATATAGGCTATATGTCATATATGGCATATTATATACATCATTTTTGATACATTTTTACATGTGTGTAGCATGTACATGACAATATTTCATTCCTCCACGTACCACTAGAAGGAAGCCTGCGTACCACTAGTGGTACACGTACCACAGTTTGAGAACCACTGCTTTAGAGGATTTAATATAATAATTACTGAACCATCATAAACTCACACTGGCCATTTAAAATCACAGCAACAGAGTGTTTCTCTCCATGTACATTTCTGGCTCTACACTTGTATTCTTCTTCACTGTCGTCAGAGCTGATCTTGGAGATGTTGAAGATTCTTTCAGAATTCAGATATGTTTCTCCTTTAAACCAGTTGATTTCTGCAAGAGGGTTTGAGTCGCTGCTGCAGCTCAGAGTCACTGAATCTCCAGACATTATTACAGCAGATCCACTGATGGACACTAAGATGCTCCTGGGTGGGTCTGAAACAAGAAAACTAAGACTTTTAGTTAAAATATAAAATAATATAAAATATAAAATGACTAAAACATGTTGATTTCACATGTTGTTTTAATGGTTTCATGTCACAGTTAGCATTGGTAACTCACACTGGACATCTACAGTCACAGGATCAGAGTATTTCTCTCCAAGGTCATTTCTGGCTCTACACTTGTATTCTCCACTGTCATCAGAGCTGATCTTGGAGATGTTGAAGATTCCTCCAGATCCTACAAGTGTTTCTCCTTTAAACCAGCTGAAGTTCAGAGCAGGAGGGTTTGAGTCACTGCTGCAGTTCAGACTCACTGAATCCCCCTCCATTATAACAGCAGATCCACTGATGGAGATCACAGGAGAATCTGGAGCATCTGCAGGAGAAACATGTAAAAACAGGACTTTGAAACAAATATGAAGATCAGTTTAAATATGTGCTATATCTTACTAAGATTTTTAGTTTTGTTTGAAATTTTTTATAATAAGGTAATTGTACATTGGGACGAGGACTATGGAAATGAGGATCCACGTGCAGTTTATTTAAGAATAGTCAAGCGGGCAACGGTCAAAACAGGTGCAAACTGGAGCAGAAGGGTAATCCAAAGAACGTAGTCAGAAACAGACGGATGGTCAGGACAAGCGGCAAAACAACATGAACGTTGAACAAAACACAGGCTCAGAAAGACTATACAGAGGAAACACTTGGAAATTCTCACAGGAAAGCAAGACTCAGTAATGTCGAAGTGAGGTATATAAATAGTCCTGGTCATTAGTCATGAGCATCAGCTGTGTGTTTAATCGGAGAAAACTGGAACTGGTGTGTGTTTGAGTTGCATGAAGGGATCTGTGGTTTATACCAGAGAAAAATGTGTAGTAGAGTGAATGAATAATAGTGTTTTGCAGCGATCTTTACAGGCTAGATTGCTGGTGATCATAACAGAAAGGGTGAGGTACTCGGTAAGTACATGGGTACAGTTACTGGGGGATTTAAACAGATCTGTTATGATCCGCTAACAATTTTAATAAGCATTTGCAATCTTTTTTGCTTTGCTTTTTAAAAAGTAATTTAAATAATTGGTAGCACCTTACTGGTTGTTTCTGAGACAATCACAAAACATTTATAATCGTGACATACTGTAACACACCTCATCAATCAGAAAGGTATTATTGCCAAAATATTGCCAGTTATGTTCACACATACGAGGAATTTGTTTTTGTGACAGAGCTTCTACAGTGCAGCAGAATTACAGAGACAGGACAATAAACAGATAATAAATATATAAAAAAGCAGTATATAATATGAAGGAGATTGTGTCAATGCTTGTGAAACTGTCATTAAGAGTCATTTGCTCAGTTATGTCATTTTAAATGTTAAATGAGCTATAAGAAAAGCTAAATATCAGAACAAATTATATTCTAAATTTGAAGCTAAAATAAAAAAAATAAGAGCTTTCACTAGGATTTTTTTTGGCCGAAGCACCAAACATGACCAGTAGATTTGCATTGGTGACCACACAAGAGCGCCCCCTATATTTTAAGGAATATGAACCGTATTTTTTTCAAACTTTTGACCGTATTTATAAAGTAGACATTACATTTTCCAGTAGTACAAGAAGTTTCATGGCATTTGGTTTGAATTTAGCCTTTAAAAACATCTCAAAACCTTTTCCATGTGGATTGCTGTAGCAAAGTAATGCTTTACGACTCTGATGAGTGTCTTTGATGCATTTAATAAATAACTGTTACTCAGTAATATCAATAAAAAACTAGACAGTTTAAGAAATTAAGTTTTGCTTTACGTTTAGACTGCAATATTATGGATTAAAAATGTGGATTAAAACTGTAGACCTTTCCAGAGATATATAGTTTATCATGATTAGATTAGGTTTTAATTACAGAAAAGGAATGTACACTTAAGTGTCACAGTGGAGGAATAGTGACAGATATGTGTTAAGACCTGACAGGGAACAAGAGGAAAACAGGAACTTAAACACACACAGATCAATGACAAAAACAGATGAACACTAAAACGAGGAAACAGGCGGGAAACAGAATAAAAGGGAGGAAATTACAAGACAAACCTCAATACAAGCACAACAGAGGAGCACATGGGGAAGTAAACACAGCGTACACAGACATCACATTCAAACCATCAACATTTCTTCTGACTTTTACACACGATCAAGTCTAATCTGTGTTTGGGATTTTATTTGACATCATATGGATTTATTTTTGGATGACTGTTTATTTTTCATTTATCTAAATGAGCAATATAAGCAACAAAGTTGTCAAATTAATTTGGTTCACTTCATTTTAAGCTGCAATTTTCAGTATTAACAAACCATTAAGTAAGACTTTTATCTCAATAAATGTTAAATTCCCTGATTATTAGTAGCAAGATATATTTGGTAGGATGTACAATAAGATCATGTTTTATAAGCACTAATAAACTGCAAATATCTTAACAATAGGAAGAAGGCTATTAAGGAATAATACTTAAACTAAAGTGCTATCTGTATTTTAAATTCACACACAGAGAGAGTTAGAAAGCATTTCCTAACACTAAAATAACATGAACTTGATCTTGAGTTTTTTTAATCTATTGATTGACTATGTTCTCATTTATTGCAAGTCTGATTGGTTTAAAAAGGTGAATACTCAAATATTTAAATAAAAAGATAAAAACTTACATCTGACATTGAGATAAACAGCAGGAGAGATGTACGTTTGTCCCTGCACACCACAGCTGTAGTGTCCTGCTTCTGTTCTACTGACTGACCTGATGTTGAGTTCATCTCCAATATTAGTCAATGTGTGTGAGTTTCTGTACCAGATGAATGTTGGTGTGTCAGTCAGTTCACAGCTGCTGTTACATGTCAGACGGACTGAATCTCCCTCTGTCACTCTCTCAGGAGACTCCAGCTGAAGATCTGAACACAACACACACATTATATCTAGTGCTGCTCTCATACACTGATTATTATTCTACATAATGACCACAAGAAGAGAGAAACCTCAGGAGAGTCACCTGTGACAGAGAGACGCACTCCTGGAATGCCAGTCCATCTTCCTTTTGTTACATTTGTATTGAATTTGAAAAAATAGTCATGTTCATCTTTCTTTGTCACATGACTCAGTCTGACGGTGCAGTTCTGCTGTTCATCTCCCAGATACTGAAGCCTCTGACTGTATTCAGGGTCCACTGACAGATCTGCAAGCTCTACTCCATTTTTTACAAAGTCTATGTTCCAGAACACTGTCATGATCTGATATCCAGGAGTCGGGTATGTAAAAGTGCAGCTGATTGTCATTGTTGAGTTCTTCAGTGCACATAGATGTAAAGGACTGTAATTCACACCCCAATCAGCAGCAGAAACCCCTGAAACAAAGAAATAATCATGATTAAAATGTAGTTTTATAATTTTCACTGGACTAGTAAACACTTGGGACAAAGAGAGAAGAGTGAATAATCCATCAGCCAGAAATAATCCATCATCCATCAGCCATAAAAATAAAAATAACAGTACATATAATGAAGAACAATTTACTAAGATGAATACTAAATGTTTCTTCTTTCTAAAAATTAGTTGTGTATGAGTGACACAGTGGCGCAGTAGGTAGTGCTGTCGCCTCACAGCAAGAAGGTTGGTGGTTCGAGCCTCGGCTGGGTCAGTTGGCATTTCTGTGTGGAGTTTGCATGTTCTCCCTGTGTGCACGTGGGTTTCCTCCAGGTGCTCCGGTTTTTCCCAAAATCCAAAGACATGTGGTACAGGTGAATTAGGTAGGCTAAATTGACTGTAGTGTATGAGTGTGAATGAGTGGGTTGCAGCTCGAAGGGCATCCGCTGCCTAAAAACATATGCTGGATAGGTTGATAGTTCATGCCGCTGTGGCAACCTCAGATTACTAAAGGGACTAAGCCGGCAAGAAAATGAATGAATGATTAGTTGTTTAACTACCTTAATTACTTATTAGTTCATGTAAATAGGAAATAGAAACTGTTGTCAAAAATGCGATCACTAGCTGTTAAAAGCTGTTTTTTTTTGTGCTGTGTTGTTAATTTCCAATTGATTGTTGTCACTATATTGACAACCCAGAGATTAATGCAGTGTGTGTAAATGCAGAGAAATAAAGCAGTGATGTGAATGTAAGATTGACTCACTGTGAATGATGAGCAGAAAGATCAGATGAAGAGCAGGAGCCATTCTGAGCCACATCAGCATCAAATCTATCTAGAATCCAGCATTAATCATCACTTCTACACTCATCAACAGTAAATGTACATCACCCTAAACAGCTCTTAGTGTTAGGAAGATCTTTACACATCTGCAGATTATTAATGCACAACATCAGTGTGTGTAAATCAACTGATGACTGAGATCAACACAAGATATTTCTCATGTCACAAATCATGTGTTATATGAGCTTCATCTACACTAATCATCAGTCAAATACCAGTGTGTTTGTCTTACCGTGTTGAAGCGCAGCCGATCAACAGCGACTGACCGTAAACAACAGAACTATCAGTGTTCCTCTTTCGGCAAAACCACATCAAACCTGCCAGTGACTAATGAAAAATAGCCTGCTTTTTTCTTTAATTTAGTTAAAGACAGTGTAGATATTCTACCTTATGGTTATTGACATGTTTTTTTGCAGACAAAAAAGGGAAAGAGTTGATCTACAGTTGATGCACATCAGTGTTTCTATAGTATCAGAAGAGTGACATCTATAATTACTTTATTCTTTAGTATTTATTTCCTGTCTGAGGTTTTCTCTTATGATTTAAAGTAATATCTGCAGGTGCTCTGACTTAAATTTAACATAAATGTATTCAATATTAAAATTTTTAAACTTTATTACCTGTCAATCACTCATGGCTCCGCCCACGCAGTTCGGGATTGGTTGTTTTGTGCTCCGCCTCTTTCTGCAGCCTCCTCCTGTTGATCTTTAAATACTAAAACTGACCAAAACTTACATCTCTTACTTACTTAAAACTTACTTACAAATCTTACAAAGCTCATGAGTTTTTTTCTTCTGGTAAACAAATTAAGATATTTGGAAGAATATCAAAAACGTATCCACAGATATCCATACTATAGGGAGAATACTGTTGTGAGATATCACCTGCACACACAAAAATAATGATAGTTAAGTAAAAATCAAGAATAATAAGTGTACTGCATGTAGTGTGTATAGAAGGGGTCACCAATCTTGGTCTTAAAGGGCCGGTGTCCCTGCAGGATTTAGCTTCAACTTGCCTCAACACACCTGCCTGGATGTTTCAAGTATAGTAAGACCTTGATGAGCTTATTCAGGTGTGTTTGATTATGGTTGGAGCTAAAATCTCCAGGACACCGACCCTCCAGGAACAAGTTTGGTGACCCCTGGTGTATATTAATATACACTATTGGTCAAAAGTTTGTGGTCAGTTTTTTTAATGTTTTTTTAAAGAATATTATTCTGTTATTCAAGGCAGCATTTATTAAAATGAAATACATTGTTAAATATTTATTACAAATTTAAATAACTGCTTTCTTGTTGTATGTAGTTTGAAATGAAGTTATTATTCCAGTCAATATTGCTTTTATAACTATAACAATTAATAATAATAATAATAATAATTGATATTTGAGTGAATTCTGAAGGATCATGTGACTTTGAAGACAGGAGTAATGAAGCTGAAAGTTCATCATTAAAATCACTGAAATAAATTGTTAAATTGAATGATAAACTACTTCTGAACAGTTAGTGCAATAGCATTTCACAATTTTAGTATTTGTACTGTATTTTTGATTAAATAAGTACAATCTTGGCGAGCAGGAGAAGCTTATTTTAAAATATTGGTTGTCACCATCAGCAAGAAAGATGTGTAAAGGAAGCACCCCAGTGATTTGGTCCTGCTAAGGGCTGTTCATGTTTGAAGCTCAGAATATAACGGTGAACTGACAGTGCTACGTCCATGCTTATTCTGCCAGATTGCTGCTAACAGAGACACCCAGGATCATGTGGTGTATGGGACATGACAACATTAACACGTTAAGAAATAAAGGCTGCGTTTGAAACCGTATACTTCCATACTATATAGTATGCTAAAATCAGTATGTGAGCCGAGTAGTTGTTCCGAATTCATAGAATTTGATAATCAGTATGTTAGAAGTACCCAGATGACTTACTACTTCCGGCGAGATTCTGAAGTGCGCATCCCATGCATGCTGCGCTATCCCATAATGCCTGTGAGAGAATTCCTGAATGGAAGTGAGGCGACGCACCTGACGCAGGTAGGTCACATGACCATGACAAAATAGCGGATATAGTATGTCCGAATTCCATTCATACTTTTCACATTCATACTGTATAGAACGTACTTTTCTAACAGCCGAGTAGTATGTTTAAATTCAAATGCAGTACCTACTGAGTGGTAGGCGGTTTCGGACGCAGCCAAAGTTGTGCCATAGATGCTAGCACCCTGCTAGTAGTTTTAGATTAAATAAATAATTTAGCTAGGTTATATTAGCTCCAGTTGCACATGTACAGCAATTATTATAATATATTTTAAGTGTCCTCACAATATGCGAACCTTGACCCAGTCTTCTGTTGCATATAGGTAAACTTTTGGAAATACAGTGCATCCGGAAAGTATTTATGTTACAGCCTTATTTCAAATTAATTAATTAATTTATTTCCTCAGGATTCTACACCCGATACCCCAATAATGACAATGTGAATAAAAGAGTTTTTGAAACTGTTGCAAATTTATTAAAAATAAAAAAACCTGACAAATCACATGTACATGCAAAATACGGGAGAATCCCGGGAAAAACAGGAGGGTTGACAAGTATGTTTAAATATAAAGAGGAAATACTTAAGAAACAAACTTCAAATTCACAAATGCAAAAATCATCATTAAACTGATCTGGAACAGTGAAATCTATCAAAAGCCTCCATGTGGGGCTGAAACACAACTATAATTCATTAATCTCCCATGGACAGTCTTTCAATTATTTGAGCGTACTGTAAATCACAGATTCCTCCACAGTTTCCACATTCTCTTGCCTAAAATAAACAAAGAACAGAACAATGTTAGAGATTAAATAATCAGTGCTGGTTTAGCTGATGGTGGTGATGTTATGGGTGTTTATATTGCACTGTTCTGCACATTTTGAAAAATAAATGAAAGGAAATACAATAAAAAACTACTAAAAATGAAGAGAAATTAACACTAATAATAAATGACAGAAAACACTAACAATATACAAAGTCCTCATTTATTTAGGCCAGTTGCTTAAGTTGATATATTCTGATTGGCTGGATTTCTCTTATATTGTAACACTGGTTTAGTGTTGAGCAAGCGAGTTGAGCCTGACGTTACATGTGATTGAAAGGAACAACAAAAACCTTAAAATTGAGTTTGTCATTTTGTTGAAGTCATTTTGCATGATCAAAACAGGATCTTTTGTGCACAGAATTATATTGCAACTATAACGGCATGTGTTTAGTGCAGTGGTTACGTTTAGTGTGTGTTCAGTGCAGTGGTTATGTGTTAAGTGCAGGTGTTGGTGGTCCAGCAGTTTCTCCTCACCTGTGGTCTTGATCAGGCTGCTGAACTGGTGTGTTGTCACACTGACGCTGCTCCTCTTCTTCCTCTTTCTTCTTCGGTGTGTTTTTGTGATATTGGACAGTGGCGTACTGGATCTCCTCAGCATCTCTGCATTCAGCACTTATTCTGGGATTCACAGTTTCATTCGGAGCTTCATCGGCTAATCCAGGGTCACAAACTGGATTGTCGTGAGCTTGAACTTTCTGTGGCACATCAGAATACAGATCATTCTGAAACACAAGACAATAAAGCATTCATTAGCATCTGAATCAGTCTGATCAACATTTCAGAAATATTTTATTATTCACACTGCAATTATACAGCAGGATATAAGATGTGATGTAAATATGCTGATGCTTTTCACATCTGAGTTATAAAATTGTAAATATATCAGAGATTTTAGTCTCACATTGGAAAACATGAGTTTGTCTGACTTTATAGTTGTATCTGTGTGATTTACCTGCATCATTGTGAGACCTTCAGATTTAGCACTCCTTTGTTTCTTTCTGTAATAATGACACACATTAACAGAAGATTAATCACTCTAATAAATAAATGACAAAACAATATGCATATAATAAAGTATTACAAATAAACAAGCAAGAATTAAACACAGACTCATTGAAAATATGTGCCCAGGGCTACAGTTTTGGGAACCATGAAATGTGTGTCTGGGGGTACGTCTGGCTGCATTTTATGTGTACAAACACACAACGGGGCGATATGTAATTGCAGACCAATTCTGTTCCTTTCTGTGTTACTGCTGACTGATCACCTCCATTTGGATGCTTTTCCAGCATGGTCAGTTTGCTTAGTAGCTTACCTTGTCAGACTTTGGTAGAGGAATGGACCGGGGTTTGAGTCCAGCAAAGGACAGTTCCAAACACCAGTTAGCAAAAAAAGCAGTGTGGAAATGTAGTAATGTCAGGTTGCTGCGGCTTTCTTTTCTCTTCTAGTTTGCTTTTGAGAACACTATCGGTTGGCTTCTGGGAAGGGTTTGTGTAGGTTGATAGACGAATGTGAGAAGGATGTTGAGATGTGTAGAAATCCACACATATTTACAAGAAGAATTATGTTTTATGAGAACTCATAGCTCAGTAATGTATTTTAAATTGTCAAAAATGTACACGGCGCCCTCTAGTGGATTTCTGACATCAAAAATGGGAAGGAGAAGTAACCCCAGGTACATTTTTCACAGTTCTCAAAACATGTAGCCCTGGGCACATATCTCCAAATTGGTTCTCTTTTCTGGTTGCATGCATAATATAGTAATATTTGACTGTATCAGATATATTTTTTATCTTTTAAAATAAAAAAAAATTAGCATTTTATATTGATCTCACATTATTAACAGGACGATGATGACAATAATGATGATGATTAATATTGGTACAGCTGTCGCTGTGATGCTGATGTTTCTCACAGCATGTTGATGAACTGAAAGATGAAGCAGATCATGATTAACTCTCCAGACTGATGAAGTTACAGGAGTGTGATGATAAAAGCTTCACCAGTGACAGTGACGGCGTCTGATCTCTGAGCTCCATGTGGATTGTGAGCCTCACAGTAGAAGCGTCCACTCTGTACTGCACTGAAACTCTGTCCAGATCCAACAGCTGAGCTTTGATTCTCCTTAAACCAGCTGAAGTTCAGAGCAGGAGGGTTTGAGTCACTTATGCACTTCAGACTCAATGAATCAAACCAAAGCTGACCAGAATCAGTGATGGACACTGAGACATTCCTGGGAGGATCTGAAACAGAAAAACACACATACAGTATCTTAAAACAATCAAAACAAATATGGCATTGCAGTTTACATTTAAGGAATTAAATTAATAAGTTACTGAACCATCATTTACTCACATTGGACATTTAAAGTCACAGGATCAGAGTATTTCTCTCCATGTTCATTTCTGGCTCTACACTTGTATTCTCCACTGTCATCAGAGCTGATCTTGGAGATGTTGAAGATTCTTCCAGATCCTACAAGTGTTTCTCCTTTAAACCAGCTGAAGTTCAGAGCAGGAGGGTTTGAGTCGCTGCTGCAGCTCAGAGTCACTGAATCTCCCTCCACTATTACAGCAGATCCACTGATGGACACTGAGACCTTTTTAGGTGGGTCTGAAACAGAAAAAACACTCATATCATTAACAATCACAACAAACATGGCATCACCATTTACATTAAGAGGATTTAAAGCAAACCTGTTATGCACCTTTTTTTAAGACATAAAATACATATCTGCTGTCTCTGGAGAGTGTGTGAAGTTTCATCTCAAAATAGCACACAGATAATGTTTTATAACTCTCTGAATCTGACCCTTTTAGGCTTTGATTTTAACTGTGGCATTTTGGTGACTGTCACTTTAAATTCATGTGAGATTGTGCTCTTTTTAAAATAGGGTGGAGCTACAAATGCCTGTGCATCAGCATAGCAGCAGAACTCTGTAAAAAGCTGAAAATATCAAAAGTGGCTCAGAACAAGTGTTGACGGGTTGTTATACAACACTTTGTTCATTCTGTACAAATCTGTGACACATTCATTTACTCATTGCTTTTTTGAGTCTTCAATAGGTTCTTAACAGGGGGGTCCCGGCCCCACAAGGGGGCCTCAGCGAGCGCTGCGAGGAGGCGCGTCATATTTAAAAAAAATTATTGGCAGTGGACAATTAGGAAAATGATCATATTGCCTTAGTTCATTTTATCCCCTAGCTAAGTGTGGTCCTCAACCTATTGTCTGTGGATCAATCGGTACCAGGCTGCACCGGAAATCATTAATTATTTCCATTTTATTGATTATTTGAGTCTGCACAATCTTTTATTTTGAAAAATGAACATATTCTCTCGCTTACATCTTGGTCACTTGAGTGCCCAAATTTAACCCACAAGCAGCAAAATGAGTAAGAAACAGACGTCATAGGAAAGCTTCTTTGCTAAGGGGGGAAAGGTGAAATGTGAAACAGTGACTCCCAAAGAATGGATCTTCAACCCACTTGTCTACAAATCAGGCGAATCCAGCATGTCTGTGCAAGAAGATCAAATGATGCTTTGTAATTTTCTCCATGAATAAAACTTGTATCAGAGTCACAGCAATGTTTTATCAGCCTGTCATCCTCTGAGAAAACGGTTTATGGACTACTACGAAACAACCTACAAAACACCCCCAACCCTCTGTTTCGAACCCTTGCCCTAGCTGACCAACAATGGACAAATTTGTAATCCGTCCTCCACAAAAAAGACATCAAAGAATTCATATTATGTTTTTCCCTTATACATTAATGTGAATACTGATATTTTTGTTATTGAATGTCAAATAGGGCCTATTTAAAGGCCAAGGGCTTTTGTTTTTCAGTTACAAATGGCTTACTGATGCTTTTATATTTTTATATTAGGCTAATATTTGTGCATAAGCAGATCTAGATATAGTAATAAACACATCGTTTGTTTAAAAACATATATATATTTTTTCATTCTTACTGCAAACGTATATAAGCGATAATATCATTAAATGTGGAGGGGGCCTCACAATATTTTCCAGGGGAAAAGGGGGTCTCAGGCAAAAAAAGGTTGGGAACCACTGCTCTATAGGATTTAAATCATTCGTTCATGACATGAAAGACGGAAACCATTTATATGCAGTCAGAGCTGGAAAAACTTGTTGTTTGATCCATTAATTTCTTGGGTCTTCGAGTTTAAGTCATTCATCTCTTTACATGCTGTCACATGATGAACTAATGACTAAAAAACCCAAAGACTGGAAAGATGAACTAATAGTGGGTCTTTCTGACTCAAACTATGTTAATTAGGCTTATATGAGACTGCTCGTGTTTTTTTTTTTAAAAGGTCCCCCTTAATATATCAGTTACTGAACCATCATTCACTCACACTGGACATCTAAAGTCACAGGATCAGAGTATTTCTCTCCATGTTCATTTGTGGCTCTACACTTGTATTCTCCACTGTCATCAGAGCTGATCTTGGAGATGTTGAAGATTCTTCCAGATCCTACAAATGTTTCTCCTTTAAACCAGCTGAAGTTCAGAGCAGGAGGGTTTGAGTCACTGCTGCAGTTCAGAGTCACTGAATCTCCCTCCTTTATTACAGCAGATCTGTTCATAGACACTGAGATGTTCCTGGGTGGGTCTGATACAGAAAAACACAAACTGTTAAGAATCACAATAGTTTTGACATCACAGATTATATTTTAATGACTTAATGTCATAGTTTTGCTAACTCACACTGGACATCTAAAGTCACAGGATCAGAGTATTTCTCTCCATGTACATTTCTGGCTCTACACTTGTATTCTCCACTGTCATCAGAGCTGATCTTGGAGATGCGGAAGATTCTTCTAGAACCTACAGATGTATTTCCTTTAAACCAGCTGAAGTTTGCAGGAGGGTTTGAGTTGCTGCTGCAGTTCAGAGTCACTGAATCTCCCTCCATTATTACAGCAGATCTGTTGATGGAGATCACAGGAGTATCTGGAGCATCTGCAGGAGAAACATGTAAAAACAAGACTTTGTCCTAAAACAAGACTTCAGTTTAAATGTGTACCATATACATCTTTCTAAAAGAGATACCCATTATTTTTTATACATTTTCCGTTTTCTTATCATTTTAATAGTTTTATTTTGTAAGTAAATCGAGACAATTTCTGGAGTATTTAAAAGCAGATAATAAGCATTTAAAGTAATTTAAAGAATTTGTATCACTTTGCTTAAAGGTGGTGTTCATAAGATTGTCATGAAACATTTATAATCATGACACAACACTATCATGAATATGAAGGAGATTTTATGCATGTTTATGAAACTGTCATTAAGAGTCATTTGCTCAGTTATGTTATTTCAAATGCTAAATTATATATGCAAAGCTTATTATCTGAACAAATTATATTCCACATTTGAAGCCGACATCTCCAAAAATGTGCTTTCAGTAAGATTTTGTTTGGCCGCAGTACCAAACATGACCACCACATTTCCATTGGTGAACACACAAGGGCGCCCCCTATGTTTTAAGTAATATTAACTGTATTTTTTTCATACTTTTGACAGTAGTTCTAAAGTAGACATTCAATTCTAGAGTAGTATGGGATTTTTGGTAGCATTTGATTTGAATTTAGTGAAAATACATGTAAAAATATCTCAGAACTTTTTTTCTTGTGGATTGCTGTAGCAAAGTAATGCTTTATGACTCTGATGAGGATCCATTTTACAACTAATAAACAGCCGTTGCTCAGTATTATCAACAATCTGTCGTGTCATATATGGAATCTAGAAAGTTTAACCTTTCAAATGATATTTAGTTTGTCATAATTGCTTTATGAGTGGACTACGATCTTATGGTTTAAAATGTAGCCGTAAGTGCTCCTACAGGATGTAGGGTGACGATAAATTTGTTTTAATCTATTACCACTCCTACAAAAAAAAAAAACAACCAACGAAAAAAAAAGCTGAATTCATAGACCTTTCTAACAATATAAGGCTGCCATCTGATATTATTTTAACAATTTAATTTATTAATTTTACGGTCAAAATAAAACGAAACAAATTTTTTTTTTAAACGAAACGAAACAAACATCTCAAACTATCACCTGTATGCTTCAGTTTTTGCACTTGTATATCTGACGATCATATATAGCCCACAACATGTTTATTATTATGTCTTTTAATTTTGGGAGAAAAAGGATGCATTTATTTTAGACGCGCCCAGTTTAATCTGGAATGATGTGAGTGATTGGATTTTTCTATACGTCTCAAATGCATGTGAGAGGGTATTTACAACACCTTCGTATTTCATGATCGCATGGATTTCCAAATTGTAATAATGCATGAAGTGAGCAGGTGTAAACAGCACCTATATGCTAAGACCTGACAGGGAACAAGAGGAAAACAGGAACTTAAACACACACAGAGATCAATGATAAAGACAAATGAACACGATAACGAGGAACTAAGATGGGAAACAGAACAAAAGAAATCAAATGACAAAACACACCTGAATACAAGCACAAGAGAAACACATGGGGAAGTAAACATACAGTCGTGTACACTGACATCATATTAAAACCACCTTCAACTCACGATCAAGTCTAATGTGTTTAGCGATTTCTTTCGCTCTGACCTGAAACCCCTGATCATGTGCTTTTATATTTGCTTAATGTCCTTTTAAGTTGAATCAATGCCCATATATTTATCTATGTTTGCTTAAATGTAAGCAATATAAGCAACAAAGTTGTCAAATGAATTTTGTTCACTTTATTTTAAGGTTTAATTCACACTATTTACAAACCATTAACTTACATATTTTAACTCAAACCATTTCTAATTAGCGTATTAATGGTTAGTAAGGTAGTAATTGGGTTTAGGTATTGTAGGGATGTACATTAAGTTCATGCATTATAAGTACTAATAAACAACAAATATCTTTTATTTTTTTTAATAATAGAAAGGCAATAAGATTGTGCAACTTTAACTTAAGTGTAACTTGTATTTTAAGTTCAGAGAGAGAAAAGACTTCATACTAAAATCACACAACAGCTTAAATATCATATGGCAGCACTATTGCAAACATGAGTATTTTAACCTTATTGATATTTAACTTTTGCATTGACTACATTTATATTTATTGTAAGTCTAAATACTTTAAAAAGGTGAATAATTAAAAGTTAAAATAAAAAGATGAAAACTTACATCTGACATTGAGATAAACAGCAGGAGAGATGTAGGTTTGTCCCTGCACACCACAGCTGTAGTGTCCTGCTTCTGTTCTGTTGACTGACCTGATGTTGAGTTCATCTCCAATATTAGTCAATGTGTGTGAGTTTCTGTACCAGATGAATGTTGGTGTGTCAGTCAGTTTACAGCTGCTGTTACATGTCAGACGGACTGAATCTCCCTCTGTCACTCTCTCAGGAGACTCCAGCTGAAGATCTGAACACAACACACACATTATATCTAGTGCTGCTCTCACACACTGATTATTATTCTACATAATGACCACAAGAAGAGAGAAACCTCAGGAGAGTCACCTGTGACAGAGAGACGCACTCCTGGAGTACCAGTCCACATTCCTCCTGATACATCAGTAATGAATCTGAAATAATACTGGTGTTCATCTTTCTTTGTCACATGACTCAGTCTGACGGTGCAGTTGTGCTGTTCATCTCCCAGATACTGAAGCCTCTGACTGTATTCAGGGTCCTCAGACAGATCTGCAAGCTCTACTCCATGTTTTACCTCGTCTTTGTTCCAAAACACTTTCATGATCTGATATCCAGTAGTCGGGTATGTAAAAGTGCAGCTGATTGTCATTGTTGAGTTCTTCAGTGCACAGATGTATGAAGGACTGTAATTCACACCCCAACCAGCAGCAGAAACCCCTGAAACACAGAAATAGCCATGATAAAATGCTGTTTAATCGGTTAAACTGGATTGTAAAACACTAGAAACACATACTGTTTTATATGATAAAAATAGTTTAAGCTGATGTTGTGAATATGAATAACGATCTCAGGGTGAATGACTTCAGTCTTGATGGAGGACAGAAATAAACAGAGAAGAGCAAATAAACCAGCTTTTTTATGAAAAGATCATTAATAATGCTGTTATTTTAGCAGTATGTTAATAATGATGTATAAAAATAAAACCGTACAACATACAAACTGCAGCTTTTAACATAAATGACAAACACTGGATGCTCAATTATTCTCATTGAATGTACAAATTCACAATAAGAAACGCCAGATTTAAGGAGTTTCCACCATTTAAGCCCAGCACACACCAAGTCATCGTGAAAGAACTAGCAGAAATGAAATCGGACTTTGTTCTCTCAGACTATCATTGACTTGCTGTGAAAAGCAGCTTTTTTTTCTGTATTGTGGTCCAGTCTAGTGAGATGAACACATGATGTTGGCTGTCATCACTATGAAGACTGTATCAGCACTTAATGCATCACAACCAGAACCAAAAGTGTGAAGGAAACGCTGAAACAAGAGGATTTCATGACACTATAACTAAAGACTCTCTACTGAGAAAACAGATCCTCTAGCACAGACTAACTTCCTATATCAGAGAGAAGATGATCAGAAACCTGCTGAATAATGTCTCAGTCTGGGGTGTGTGAAAATGCCAATGCCTCATTGTAAATATGTACCCCCATATACATTTCTGGAGAGTGTAAATAATGTAGCTTATGTGAATTATGTGAGTTACGAATGGCTGCATTTCGTCTTTAAAACAAAAACTACAGGGTGGTATGACGCCAGCTGACAATTACCTTAGTGTAAACAGCTTTTCTGCCTGATTGCCAGATTGTCTAGAGGCGAGAATAGCAGGTCCGAATGGCACTCGCTAGAGAAATTTGAGATCTAAAAAAATGGTAACAGCTGCCTCTAGTGGATTCGCCAAAACAAAAACTGCAAAAAAAGTAGCTCCTGGGATGTATTTTTCACTGTCCGGAAATGTATACAGGGGTCTGTTTCAATGCCTGAGTTGGAAAATGCAGGAATAAAGCAGTGATGTGAATGTAAGATTGACTCACTGTGAATGATGAGCAGAAAGATCAGATGAAGAGCAGGAGCCATTCTGAGCCACATCAGCATCAAATCTATCTAGAATCCAGCATTAATCATCACTTCTACACTCATCAACAGTAAATGTACATCACCCTAAACAGCTCTTAGTGTTAGGAAGATCTTTACACATCTGCAGATTATTAATGCACAACATCAGTGTGTGTAAATCAACTGATGACTGAGATCAACACAAGATATTTCTCATGTCACAAATCATGTGTTATATGAGCTTCATCTACACTAATCATCAGTCAAATACCAGTGTGTTTGTCTTACCGTGTTGAAGAGCAGCCGATCAACAGCGACTGACCGTGAGCAACAGAACTATCAGTGTTCCTCTTTCAGCTAAACCACATCAAACCTGCCAGTGACTTATTAAACAAATTTGCATGTTTTTTCTCTTCAAGTTAATTTATAGACAGCAAGATATAGTATGCACATCAGTGTTTATACAGTATCAGCAGCAGGAGATGGAGACCACAAAGTGACATCCTCATAATAGTCAACGTTACTTGTATTTGTTATAATCAGACTTGATAAAAACAGTCTGCAGAAACACTTTGATTGACATTCTCCCCTTTTTAAAGAGCACAATCTCATTTGCATTTAAAGCAAGTCACCAAAATGTCACGATTCAGATCAATGCATGAAAGGGTCAGTAGCTATTTTGAGCTGAAACTTCACACACACACTCTAGGTCAGGGGTCACCAATCTCGTTCCTGGAGGTCCTGCAGGGTTTAGCTCCAACTTGCCTCAACACACCTGCCTGGGTGTTCCAAGTATACCTAGTTAGACCTTTGCTGTTTCGTAATATGTAATCTTCAGCGGTCTTGTGTTCTCGTGTAACGTCATCATCAGCTGCCTAAGTTCAGTTCCAATACTCAAGACCGCAAGAACAGAGGACGCGTGAAACTTCCCGAATGTGATCTTGATATCGAGGATGCACCGATGCAGACTTGAGCACCGATCTCGCTCTGGAAGTCCCAGAAGTCATTGCGACTGGAGGTGGGAAGCGCAGCATTTTATTTAGATTTATTATTAAAGAGATATCATTTATTTGAGACTAAAAACACATCTGTTTAGCTGTGCCTTTTCTGTATGAGCACTGTGCTACGTCCCACAGATCGCACTATTATGTTTTTCGTTTTCTTTTTCATTCTTTTATAACCTATTTTAACTCATTTTAATTTGTTTTTATCTGTTGTTAATAATTTTTATTGTCTGCATTTTATGTTCCTAAACTTGTCTTTTTTATTCCTGTTTATGTAAAGCACTTTGAATTGCCACTGTGTATGAAATGTGCTATAGAAATAAACTTGCCTTGCCTTGCCTATTTACCTCAGGAGTTTCCCTGAATGAAACATTGAATATAAACATTACCATGGACATTTTAATAAAGGAATAAACACATTAAGAGTATTAAAATCAGTTTTATTTATATTGTGCAGTGTATATTTATACTTTTTTATGCACAGTATATATTTTGAAAAGGAGAAAAACAATCAATCCCTGGATGAATGCTGTAATGTTTAAATAATTTACCATTTAAAACGTGTGAAGGTCATGTGACCATCAGGAAGAACGCAGCATCTCATTTCTCAAAGGATGCGTTCTCTGTCATCGCAGTCTCCTGAGTTCGTTCTTCGGAGGACACCTGGCAAGATCGGTCTTATATATATATATAAATAAAATATATATATATATATATATATATATATATATAAAACAGCTATATGATTATTATAGGCTTCTTGGCATTGGTCAGGGCCCCCTAATTCCTCGGGGTCCTAAGCAGCTGCTTACCTCCCTTATTAATTAAGTCTTCCCCTGGGCGTTTCCTATTACTGGGTTGCAGGTGGAAGGGCATCTGCTGTGTAAAACATATCTGAAATAGTTGGTGGTTCATTCCGCTGTGGCGACCCCTGATGAATAAAGGGACTAAGATGAAAAGAAAATTAATATAATAAAGCACATTAATTATCATACAAGAGACAGGTGAATATGACTAATTAATGCTAGCTATATTCTGATGATATTTTAAAATTAATCAGGTTACGGGTTGATTTACTGAAATCCTGCAATTTAAAAAAAAAGACCATTAAGTAAGAGCAAAACTCATTTCGGTCACACTTTATTTGAATGTATAATGCATGCTATTAACAAACAAAATATTGATTAAGATTTTTAGTTTAATAAACTGCTAATTAATGAAAAAAAACTACTATTCTGCAACTTTACAGAAGTGTAAAAAAAAAAAAACAAGAAAGAAAAACCAACAGCAATGTGTTGTTATTATTGTTGGGCAATCATGTAGTGATTGTTTCCACCAATAGAGGGCGCTGTGAGCTGCTGATTGTTTGCTCACACTGCTGTTTTAGCCATGAAGAACAGAACCAGCATGAGAGCATATTCATACAGTCAACGGCCATCAAATAAGACAGGAATAAGAGATTAAGCCTGAGGAAAGTGAGTGAGTTTGGTTTTATGATACAACTGTAAACGTTTTCATGCTTGTGTTCATATGAGGAACTCACCCTCTGTCTCCTCGGGTCGGCTCAGTTTGCTTTTGTTTTTCTGCTACAGTGAAACTGAAAGCAACCTGTGCCTTGTCTACAGGAACATGATACAGGAAAAGATATTAGGAGTGTGTGTGTGTGCTTATGTGTGCATGATTGATTATAATAGTTTGTGTTTATGTTCGAATGTTCATGTTTGTTTGTGTGTGTGTGTGTGTGTGTGTGTGTGTGTGTGTGTGTGTGTGTGTGTGTGCGCGTGTGCATGTGTGTGTATTTGATTTTCTTCACTGACAATTCTCTAATTAGTCAACAGAATTAAGCAATAATATACTGTATATTTACATCAATCATAGTATCCAGCACAAGGTATTTTGCTGTGTGTCTGTTCAGTAGTAATGATAACACTCTGAATGTGTTTCTGTGGCGCATTTAACAAGTTCCAGTTTTTCCTGCTGTTTTGGCTTGACTGTTGCTCACAGCTTTGAATGAATAGTCTTTACTGAATTACCTGCATGAGTTCACAGTGTTCAAACAAACAAAGAAAAAAAAAAAACGTCTTAGGGAACACGAATATGGAGCCTGATCAGTCTCAGAAACAATACATTTGCAAAAATAACAACAAAAAAAAATGCACTCGTAAAATTCAAAACATTGTTGAACATGTGAATTGCCCAAAATAGGTGAATGTGCATTGATGATTTGTGTATTTACGAATTGCGTTTTGAATTTTTTCATTTTCAAATTGTATTTGTGTATTTACGAATTGTGTTTTGAATTTCCGAATTGTATTTGTGTATTTGCGAGTTGTGTTTTGACATTCCGAATTCGATTTGTGTATTTACAAATTGTGTTTTGAATTTTCGTTGAGGATTTGCGTATTTATAAATTGAATTTTGAATTTCCGAATTGGATTTTTGTGTTTACGAATTGTGTTTTGACATTCCGAATTGGTTTTGTGTATTTACGAACTGTGTTTTCACATTCTGAATTGGATTTTTGTGTTTACGAATTGTGTTTTGACATTCCGAATTGGTTTTGTGTATTTACGAACTGTGTTTTCACATTCTGAATTGGATTTGTGTATTTACGAACTGTGTTTTGACATTCCGAATTGGTTTTGTGTATTTACGAACTGTGTTTTCACATTCTGAATTGGATTTGTGTATTTACGAACTGTATATTGACATTTCGAATTGGATTTGTGTATTTACGAACTGTGTTTTGACATTCCAAATTGGATTTGTGTATTTACAAATTGTGTTTTGAATTTTCGTTGAGGATTTGCGTATTTATAAATTGTATTTTGAATTTCCGAATTGGATTTGTGTATTTACGAATTGTGTTTTGACATTCCGAATTGGATTTGTGTATTTACGAACTGTTTTCACATTCCGAATTGGATTTGTGTATTTACAAATTATGTTTTAAATGTACGCATTCAATTTCCTAAATGTGAATTGAATTGTGCATAAATTTTATTTTGTAAATGTATTATTTTTTCAGACTGATCTGGCTCCATACACAAGGCCTGTGCTGAAACATTAACATTGTGCATTGCTTTCTGTTCTCAGGGAGTGTGAAGCAGCATGCAGTCGGACAAACCATTTCAATGTTCAACTTGAGAGCAAAATACGACATTAAGAGTTATGAACTTCACATTTGTTTGTTGCAGTCAGAGCAGCATTTATTGAGTCAATTGTTGACACAGATTGGTGTTTACAGGGTTAAGTGCTACACAAATGCAGAATGTAAAGTGTGTCCTCGTTGGCGACGCGGCTGTAGAAAAAACTGCATTATTATTCAGCTACACCACCGGTAAATGTCAGGATGGTTATGTCCCCACTGTGTTTGATAAATTGTCTGTCGATTTGGTGGTTGATGGGAATCCAGTGGCTCTGGGACTGTGGGATACAGCAGGACAGGAGGATTATACCATACTTCGTCCACTTTCCTACCCTAATACGGATGTGTTTTTGGTCTGTTTTTCTTGTGTGGGTCCGCAGTCATTTGAGAATGTCAGTGAAAAGTGGCTTCCAGAGGTCAGACATCATTGCCCAAACACTCCGATAGTTCTAGTCGGGACTAAACTTGATCTGAAAAATGACAAGGAGACCATTGAACATCTGAAAGAGAAGAAACAAACCCCCATCTCTTTCCACCGAGGCCTGGCTAAAGCAGAAGAAATAGGAGCTGTGAAGTATCTGGAATGCTCAGCGAAGACACTGAAGGGTGTTAAAACAGTGTTTGATGAAGCCATCCGTGCAGTTCTAAACCCGCAAGAGGAGAATATAAGAAAGAGAAAGTGTTTAATCTCCTGAACTGACTGAATACAAACATAATAAAGCGTATTAATTAAATCACAAAGTAAGTGATTAGCTGATGCTACAACCCCAAATCAGAAAAAGTTGGGACAGTATGGCAAACACTAATGATAAAAAGAAAGTAGTGATTGCTAAATCACAACACAGCCGCAGCCAGGACTTTTCAATGGTGTAGAGAATGTGGTTTTGCATTGTCTTGTTAAAATATGCAAGGGCGTCTCTGAGAGAAAAGGCAGCAAATTCTGCTTGGCTTCCATTTCTTCCAAAAAAAATACCTGAAACACCTGATTTATCATTTGTGAGATGGTTCATCCCAGATGCCTTTGAGCCCAGACATGTCAATGGAACTTCTGGACATTGTTAACATAGGGCTTCCTTTTAGCACAGTGCAGTTTTCACTGGCTTTTGTGGCTGTAACTATGTGGCTATCTAACTATTGTGGTACTTGACAAAGGTTTGCCACAGTAGTCTTGAGCCTATGTAGTGATATCAGCTTGATTAACTGATTTGCATGCTTTTTAAAATTAACATCAAGACCAAAATCATCTTCACGCACAGCAAAATTCCAGAGTTTAACGCAGAAAATTTAACGCACAGAGTTAAATTTACCTAGTTCAGAGTGTCTTTGGTCTCTGTTACCAAACAGGTTGGCAATAAGTAAAGCTGCTGTTTGTGGAGTTGCTTAAAGATCCTCTGCTGAGATGTTGAGAGATTCAGTGTTTTATATTTCAGCTGATTTGATCTAAGGTTGTGACTGAAGTTGGTTATAGTTCTGTGTTTCTGTATATTATCTTCAATCATCACCTAGTTTATCCCTTCATTGTTTTATTAACCTGAGAAAATTTAACTCAGTTTAGAGATGGACCAAATACTATCTTGAGTAAATGCTACTCTGGGATTTTGCTGTGTGATGGCTTCTGCAAACAAAACATCTTTAACTCAACGTCTTTACCTCTGTTTTCACATTTCAGTACAAACTTTTTGTGTTTGTGAGGATAAATAGTGTTGATCGTTATTTCAATGTCAAGGATGGGCAGAGAAATATTGATACTAGGACTGTTGGTTAATACTTCAGTGAGAAGTTTCACCATTGTTTGTATGAAACAGTCATCATCATGACATTACTATAATTACCCATAATTTCCTTATATTCTTAAAGGGATAGTTCACCCAAAAATTAAAGTTTACTCACTGTTTACTCACTCTGAAGTGGTTTCAAACCTTTTTTTTATTTTGTTTAACGCTAAATTAGTTATTCTGAAGGAATCTGAAAATCCTGTAACCACTGACCTCCATAGTATGAAGCACACATGCTGTAGAAGTCAGTAGTTAAAGGCTTTCAGCTTTCTTCACAATATCTGCATTTGTGTTTAACCAGTCAGACAGGCTTGGAGCTTAAATAGGAAACAGTGAATAAGAGCGATTTCAGATTTAGTCCAAGACCAACCAAACCTGCCTCAAAGCCTCGTGTTTATTCAACACATATACAAATATAAAGAACACTGTGACCTGTTTGACAGAAAAATGTCCTAATTTTCAGAGAAATGTACAGTATTATGTCAATAAAATCACTTCATTTGCAGAAGGTGTTACTCATTGTCTGTGCATTGCATGTGGAAAACCTGTTTGTTGTTTAAAAAGTGTATATTCTGTAGTTCATTCATTTTCCTTCAGCTTAGTCTCTTATTTATCAGGGGTAGCCAAAGCCGATTGAATTGCTGACCTATCTAGCATATGTTTTATGCGGCGGATGCCTTTCCAGCTGGGAAACACCCATATGCACTCACATTTACACACACACTCATACATTACGGCCAATTTAGTTACTCAATTCACCTAGAGCACATGTGTTTGGACTGTGGGGGAAACTGGAGGAAACCCACGCCAACACGAGGAGAACATGCAAACTCCACACAGAAATGCCAACTAACCCAGCCTTGTTGTTTTATTTAAAAAGTTTGAATGGAAAGTTTTTCTGAAAGGCTTAAGGTTGTCATGTTTCAGGGAAAATAGCCACTCTGTCAACCCTATTGTCTTCAGTTTTCATCATCATCATCTGAGAGTGCAGGGGAGCGGCTTTAAAATAAACCAGAAGAGCAACAAACGTGTCAGGAGAGTTCAAAACTTCACGTCTGCCTTCAGCTTCAATCAAATCAGGACTTGTTTTTCTGTGTGGAATTACTAAGTGTTGAATTTAAACACCAGACTTATTATTTTATGATGGACATTGCTTAGAACAGCGTGAGGAGTGAGCACAGATGAAGGATATAAAGTGTGTGGTTGTTGGCAGCACTGTGGGAAAATCATGCCTTCTGGTGAGCTACACCACCAATGCATTTCCAGATCAGATTGTTCCTACTGCTTTTGATAATTTCTCTGCCAATGAGATTGTTGATGGGAATCCAGTGAGACTACAAATATGGGATACAGCAGGGATGGAGGAATACGACAGGCTTCGACCACTTTCCTACCCAGAGACAGATGTGTTCTTGATCTGTTTCTCTACTGTGGAATCAGAGTCATTTGAGAATGTCAGTGAAAAGTGGCTACCAGAAGTCAGACATTTCTGTCCTGACATACCGATAATTCTAGTCGGGACTAAACTTGATCTGAAATATGACAAGTGGACAATTGAATATTTGGAAAAGAAGAAACAAACCCCCATCTCCTTCCATCAAGGCCTGGCTAAAGCTGCAGAAATAGGAGCTGTGAAGTATGTGGAGTGCTCAGCAAAAACACTGAAGGGGGTTAAAACAGTGTTTGAGGAAGCCGTCCGTGCAGTTCTGGACCCGCAGAGAGGAAAGCCTAGAGTGAAGAAAAGAAAGTGTTTAATCTCCTGAACCGACTGAATGCACATATAATAAAGTCTGAACTCACCTGAGAGCCAGAGGTGATCCAATGTAGAAACTGTGAGTTGATAAAACACTTTTTTTATGAGAAAACATAAAAAGTAATTGCTGATATCATGTTTTTATTTATGTATGTGTTTCTTTTAAGTGGGCAAAAGCTAATCGTCACCTTAGAATAAGGTTCTATCTGATATTTTTGTCAAAATTGAGTTATCAACAATTTATTTAAATTATGGGATGTTTTTTTTAAAAGTTGTTTACATTTTAAGACTATCAAATCTTCCACACATACTGTTTGCTATGAAATACAAAAACTCCTAATCTCTTAAAATCATTCAGAATGCAGATAAAACCTAATAATTCCAAGATGACGAAATGTCTCAATGTTTTCTTCAAACGAAATATTTCCTATTTAAATCAATATCTACAGCTCTGTTTTCATTTTTTTCTGAATTTATTAGAGATGTTTGTGGGAAATCTTCACCATTGAGGTGATTAGTGTTTCAGACCAATGAAGGGCAGACAAATAATGCTAATATTAACCTTTTAACATTTTAACACCAGTTTTTCCTTATTGCTGTAACTCTGTTTATGAAGCACATTTTGCAGGGAACACAACAGGAAAATGTGGACACGTGCTACTTGATCATCACTTTTTATGATGGTAGATTTATTACTGTATATATTTGTGCCTTAGTCTCAAAATAAGTTTTTAATTGCAATATTCACATCACAAAATAATTTTAAATGTTTCTCTGGGTCAAGAAGATATATTTCTAACTATACAATGCAAAATGGATGACAAATAAAGAATGATTAAGAAAGAATTGAGTTCTGAAGTAGTTAAGAGTAACAACTACACACATAATGAAGAGCTTTACACATTTACTGTAGCATTATCACTAGTGATGTGTTTAAAGAGCCCATATTATACATGAAATAAGGTCATATCTTGGTTGTAAGGGTCTCCAACAACAGTCTAATATGCATGCAAGGTCAAAAAACACTTTCATGGTCTTATAATCTGCATTTATTTTTACCTAATTATCCCAGCGACTCCTGTATGAATCGTCCAGTGATTCATTTGTTCCCAAACCCCTCCTTAGCGCAGAGCTAATCTGCGCTGATTGGACCGATGACAGTCTGTCGCGATTGGTCGACTGCCTTCAGTCAGAGAGGGAAATGGCCAATAGCTAATCAGCAATTTAAAAAGTAATCACAGTTCATACACGCTCGATAGTGTAGACGTGGACTTTAGCTGCCACACTATGGCCAGTGGATAGTGCCACGGATAACCGAACGAAGGACACAGTCGTGTACTCGCCATACCACACACACACAAAAACACACACACACCTCCGGATGACAACGCTCCCGCTTCAGCCCGCACCCGCCAGGTTTTAGCCTGAGAACCCGCTCCGTTTTCTGCCCGCCGCGCCCGGTCCCGCTAGAGCGGAGAACACAACCAAATATCACCCAGTATACAGTCCAGACAGCCAAGCTGTACACAAAGCACAAAGTACACAAAGCTCGTTCGTTCGTTCGCTCTCTCTCTCTCGCTCTCTCTCTCTCTCTCTCTCTCTCCCCGCGCCAGATTTCTGCGGCGCGGGAATACATTTCCGAATAAATCGCGGGAGCAGAACTCTAGCACGGAGCTCCATAAACAAACAGCACGCGTCGCGTTTTTAACGTGACTTTGCACGCGATAAGATAATATATCCAGTTAACCTGATACAGTACACACGGTTACAAGTAACAAATCACAACTAAATACATTTGCAAGCTAGAGTAAACGAGGCAACAACTTTAACCGCATGTACTTACACTTAAGAAATGTAGGAAGAAACTCATCCTGACGTCCATCAGTTACTCTTTACTGATCCTTCCTTTAACAAACTCAGATGAAGTATTCTTTGTAGCATGTAGCTTCCAGAAGTTTCCAACTGCTTGGTTATAATGCTGATGTTTCATCTTTGGGTAGAGACTCAATATATCCATCTGCAGTGTGACTTCAATCGACCGGCATGTTTGTGTGCGTGTGTTTGTGTGTGTGCGTGTGTTTGTGGGTGTGTGTGTGTGTGTGTCTGGGTTACTGCGTCAGAGGGCGGGGCCTCAGGTTTGAAATCTCCCGGGTTTGCGCGTGCACGTGAAAAACTTTGTTTCGTTCGTACGTCATGGCGAAACACCTAATGAGTCGGTATCAAGGCGACTCGTTTGAAGCACTATGATTCGACTCTTTTATAGATGAATCAACAGTTTTAAACACTGTATTCTTACAGATTTAAGCCTTAGCTGGATACTTCACTTCACTTAGAGCTGTGTTACACACTACATGGAGGGGCATTTTCAAAAACCCATAATATGGGCTCTTTAATATTAATCAGAAGGACATTTATCACCAGACTTAATGGCTTCTCTAAATATCCTTTATTTAGCTAATAATGTCAGCACAGGCTCATTGTGGATGTGTACCCATGTCTACATTTGTGGAGAGCACGAATTATGTACCCAGAGGTATGTCTGGCTGCATTTCATCTTTTAAATAAAGGCTACGGGGCGGACGGTGCTGACTGCTGTTGCTTTTTACAATAACAGCTCACCGTTTACTTCCATGTGGACGGCTTTTCCGGCATAACCAGTTTTACATTAGCTAGCCGCGTATGTTGGCAGACTCGAGACGAAGAGCGGAGTTGACCATGATGACAGGGTTTGAGTTTGGCAAAGAATAGTTCCAGAAGCCAGGTAAATGAATAAATAAATATATACAGACAAGAAAAAGGCTGAAAACAAGATTAAAAAAAATCACACATCCATGACAGCTTTTTTTTCTTTCTAGATTGCTTCTGTAAACACTATCTTTTGGGTTTAGGGAAGGTGGTGTATGGGTCAGTAGACAGCAAGCTGGCCTGGTTGGCTGAGGTGTAAATTGCGCCCTCTGGTGGATTTATGTGAGAAGACGTGTGAGAGAAATTTGAGATCATCAAAAATCCAACACAATCTTATTACAATTTGTAACTTTTTGATTTAGTGGCGAATTTGTGTGAATCTGTACGATCTAATTCAAACAAATTAGTATGATTTGCTCATCCCCCAATGACGGTTGGGTTTAGGGGTGAGGTTAGGTGCCACGCCTCCTTTTTAAAATCGTACATTTTCGTACCACTGAACTCGTACGCATTAGCCACTAAACTGGCAAAACGTAAAATACTTTAGTTTTCTCGTGAGATCAAAAACTGTGAGCAGAGGTACCTCTATGTATACCTCTAATGGATATACTGTTGTTATATGAAGATCAAAAATATTACACCCATAAACAATAAGTGATAAAGGCACACGGCTGAAATTTTATTTATTTATTTATTTTTTCATTGTGATTCATTTAATACATTGTTGAGTGCAGAATGTTTTTGGTCCTTGTCATTTGAGGAAATTTGTACTAAACTTATCTGGTAGAGCTCAGTGATTTAAATTTGATCTCTGAACAATAAACAACAACAAAGTTTGACTAAAATTACTTTTTTATTAAAATGAGTTAAACATGCAAAGCTTAAAACAATATAAAAACAGAGATTAAATCAGTCCTGCACCATTGATTATAATTAAACACAATGACAATTAATACCTTACTAAAGGTTGAAGAGAAAAAAAAATTAGTTTATTTACATGCTCAGCCTTAATGATTATACGTAATGAGTCAACAATACAAGTTATGTGCAGCTTTATGTTTCTATTAAGC